AAGCTGCAGTTGACTCCTGTCTGGATGCAGTGAATTTGTCTTGACGTGGCCAATGAACTTTATTGATTTTTCTCTGCCTCTACAATACGGTGGGCAGTGCTGAAAAACCTTCTTACCACCAGTGTCAAAAGTTCTGTAACATTTAACGGCCACAAATGTAAATGATGCATACATTGTTGAAGGACTCAGTCATATATATGATGATGACACTGAAAAGGATGATACTAGACAATTTCAAAATCTTTTGCAGAAAATGGAAGGATCTGAATTTGTGTTCATGCTTCATCTGTTGACGTACTTGCTTGAGCAGTTTCACAAAGTAATGCCTTTCAAAGTGCATAGATTTTATTGACCATATGTGCAAATCTATACAATTCACTTCTGCAGTTTGTTTCCAGCACTCGGGAAAATCTTGAAGAGCAAGCAAAAACTACTCTATCTGATGTAGAGTACAAAATTCTGCAAATAAGGCGTAGAGAGGGAAAACGACAACACATTGATTTCAGTGCAACTGAAGCTTTGGATGAAATTCCTCCAAGATATGTTTGGGATACATTCATTTATCCCTGTAATTGATGTTCTTAACTCAAATTTCGAGAGAAAAGCTACTGTGTACAGGTGTGTTGCTGACAATGTTTCGTTTTTAACTGATCTGCAAGCAACGGGTGAACAAATTCTCTATAGTGTCAAGAGACTAGAGCAAGAATATTCAAAGGATGTTGATCTCAATCTTGTTGATCAACTCTTGACTTTCCACTTGTATGTCAGACTCATGCAGAAAAAGGATGTTTTAGCTACCAAGATATATACCAAATAATAAAACAGGAAAAATCTAGACTTCTTTTCTAAATGTGGAAACAATTTTCAGATTGTTCCTTTGTTTGATGACAACTAACTGTTCTGGAGAGAGATCATTTTACAGACTGAAAAGGATAAAAATTGACCTCCGTTCAACAATGTCACAAGAGCAGCTCCCTGTTCTGAGTATTCTCTGTATAGAGAATGATAAACCGCGACTTGTATATTTTGATGAAATCAGTGATTTTGCAGTCGGGAAAGATCGAAGAAAGATATTTTGGAATCAAATTACCTACCATAAATGTGTAAATAAACTTAACAGAGCAATACAAAAACATGGCAATTTGATTATCTGACTGTTTTGTGTAAACAATAAACTTCTTCATCAATCATCACTGTATGATTTAAGATTGCTATCTTCAATAAAGTTTAAAATGCTATCAATCTTCAAAGGTTAAAATGTTACATAATGTTTAGATTTAATTACATGATGTTGACTATAATAACTGTCCTGCCTGTTCTCTTTTCATCAAGTTTGTTTATTTCATCATGTGACCTGTGTAAGACAGTGTTGGGCGGGTTGGTGCTTTGGTTAATATACAATAGCTTTCAAGTTTTTTCTATATATCTGACCTATAGCCCATACAGACTAGACCTGAATTTGGCCATAAACTCAAAAAAAAAAAAAACATTCCCTGAGGCTGAGCCTTTACAATTCAAAATTTTGCATAAACTTGTTGAAAATGATTGATTAGGTAACATGTAATATTTTTACTCCTAAATTTTCTGAGCCTATATGCCGGACTGCCTGTGTAAGCATGCTGCACCTACTTCCTTCAGAGTCCAAGTAAGGGGCCTCATAACTTAACTAGCAGAGGACCTCATTTGTCCTAAATCCAGTGTTGGTAATGAATAATTTTATTTTTTTATACTGACCGAACTGGACATTGAAATTAGATTAATATAATAATACTCCAACGATATTGAATAGTAACCAGTCAACGCGAAATATCAGAATTATTTTCCTTTTGTACATTCATAACAAAAATATTTAACATTTGTTAAAAGGAAAATGTAAAATAAGATTCTTTTAAAAAAAAAAAGTTCACACTCAAAAATGACATTAAATTTTACATTTTTTTTTTTAAATCTTTAAACATGTCTTTAATAAAATAAACTTTTGTGACAAACAGCAACGAGATTAATTTCAAAATTGCACTGAAATTTAAAAGTATTTTTTATATAAGTTTAGATATTTTCTGTCAAAACTAAATGAAAATGACGTGTTTTATTAAATTATGCAAGTATCAACTCTCAAAAAAATATTTTTTGAATTGTTTTTGCCAAGAGCCGGGTCGGATTTTCTGCATGTTCACATTTGATATTGCATATTCTATTTTTTTTTTTTTTTTTTTTTCTGAAATCATCTCAAGACATTTCTTTTTATGTAACTATAAAAAAATAAATGAATACCCTCCAAATTAAAAAAATATATATATATACACGCGATATCGAAAAGGTGTGAAACATAAATCAATACCAGCCAAATATTTCCCATGGTCATTTAATAAAATACCCTATTCAGGAACTGACTTGTGGTGCAACAACTACATTGAATCAATAGCTGCATCTACTGTAAAGAAAATTGGTTCACTGTGCCGTGCCAGAAGATTTTCTCGTCAGAGTTCATCTTACACATCTACAAATCTACCATTCGTCCGTGCATTGAATACTGTTGCCATATCTGGTCTGGTGAACCTGCTGTTCATCTCTAGGTTCTCGATAAAATCCAAAGACGGATCAACAATGTAATCGGCCCTGACTTGGCATTTCGGCTTCAGTTACATTCTCACAGACGTGATGTGGCTCGCCTCTGTCTTTTCTACAAATATTTTCATGGCAACTGCTCTGCCGAGTTTTTTTTTTTTTTTTTTTTTTTTGCCTTGGTGCTCCGACTACATGAATTTAAGCGTGCTACTAGATTGGCATCACGCTCCCACCCGTTTACTGTTGAAATAATTAAATGTAACCGTCACTCCTAGTCCATACTTTCTTTACTCCCTTCCTCTTACTTGCTTCCCTGATAGCTACAATCTTAAATTTTTTTAAAAATTTAAATACAACGTCATTTCCTGTTGCCTTGATCTCCGTTCATCATTTATCTTTTCTTCAATCCAACCTATACCATGTCTTTTCTCTCACTGTGTGATAGCGACACTTCCGCCTTGCTTGGGGTGAAATGCTTAAAAAAAAAAGTAAAATTAAAGGATTTTTATTTGGTAAAAAATAACCCTACGAAAATAATAGGTCAAACAAATGTTTGAGGTAACATTTATTTTATAAGGGCACACAACAAAACCGACGACACAAGCCGTGTTTAAAAAATAAAACAAATGATAAATTTATTAACACACAAAAATGGAAGAATTGCACAAAAGTGTGCCAAATGATGGCCAATAACATGTAAGTAAAAATAATCAATGGCAATTAAATATGTCTTTTTATAATAAAAAAAATTACAATGTTGCATAAGGTCCTCAGAAATGGTAAACAACATAAAAATAAAAGGTAGAAAGGAGAAAATACATCTGAATAATTTTCAAAGAACAGGTAAAAAATTTTTAAACAAATTTCGTGGTAACAGCGAAGAATAGAACAATCACACCAGCAGAAGAATTTTCCTTGATATTGGAGCGACTTTGATGTTTCTTTCAATTCTCGTCTGGTGCTTGTCAAATTTCTTGTGTTGTTTTTCTTCCTGAACCGGGGTAACTTGGATTCCTGCAGCAGCTGTTCACCGACTCCGCGTATTCAATCCAAGGCCCGCTTTTTACTGGTTCAGGCAGGCTCCAAATTCACTTCTCGGAATTTGGAGGAAAACCTTTTAATTGATTCTGGATGAAAAACGAACGCAGTTGCTTTCTCACAAATCGAAATGTACCAAAAATATTTTTGAAATTCAATAGTTTAAGCAAGAGCCCAAAGCAACGTCTGCTTTCTCTCAGAAAAGCAGATGATGCACGTTCAAGCAGCTTAAATTTCTTATTTATTTATTAATGAATAAGTCCTGAAAATGTTGTTTGAATCTGATAATTCCCTGATTTTTGTCAAATTTGGTGGTACCTAAAGAATACATAATTAAATTATTTAAGATTTGTTTTTTGATTGTTTTTCATGGTTGTTGCTTAGTTTTGGCTTGTTTGTTTTTTTGTTTTTGTCTTTTTTTTTTGTTGTTGTTGTTTTTGTTTGTTTTTATGGATTTTGTTTGTTCGAGTCCGTGGCTGTACCTCATTTTTATAAAGCTAAATCCCCGAAGGCTAGAGCTACTGCTACGGAATTCCTAATAAAAATAAAATAAAAGGAAAACAGAATATCCTCAAAATCTTTCTTATTATTAAAAATAGGAAATACTGTTGCGGAGGAATAGGTTATTAGGCAAATATGTATATATCAGAAGGTATTAGTTATGCTGGCTGCGTGAAAATAAACTTCTCCACAAACATTTAACTTTGGGTATGGCATAAGGTCATCAACGACAGAATATAAAACAGACAATATTCCTTTTTAGAAAAACAAGAATAAAGCTTTTATATAACAAATACAGGGTGTTGCAGAAAAATCCGACACTTGACAAAAAGAAAACGAAATTGGCAATAAAAACAAAAATTGTATATGCAGAGACCCGACAGTTTGTTTAGCAACAGTTAGAGTTACATACTACATTATTTTTCAATGTAACCGCCGGCAGCGACGACGACGACCATCTCAATGAGTCACAAGCTTTGGCGAAATGGCCTTGTCCATAGCGGCGAACGCCTCCACGATGGCAGCCTTCAGAGAGTCGACCGTGTTGTGGGCGTGCTTGTTGGTCTTGGCCTCGATCACGCCCCAAAAGAAATAGTCAAGGGAGTTGCAGTCGGGCAAAGGAGGGCGGCCACAAGTCCCGCGACCAGTGGTGAGGAACATTGTTGAGCAGCCACGCCTGGGTCGTCTTGGCCTTGTGTGCAGGAGCGCAGTCCTACTGGAAGACGTTGGGTGCGTCCGGCGACGATCTCATCCATCCAGGGTTTCACCACGCTCCTCAGCACATCCTGGTAGATCTCAGCGATGACTCTCTTGACCTTTTGAAAGAGGAACGGAGGCATGACGTCCCCCTCGCTGGAGATGACGCTAAGGACCATGACAGAGGAGAGAAACTTCGTATGCTTCACGACGGGAACCACCTCGATGTCTTTGCAGATCCACCTGTTGTTCTGCCTGTTGCTCGTCTGGTCCTAGATGAAATTCTTTTCCTCAGAGAAGAACCTCATCATCCCGGCGGACCCGTACTTGATCTCGTTCAGCAAAGCCGCTGCCTTGACCTTCCTCGACTCCTTGGAGGCATTCGTGATGAGCATGCAGTGAGACTTGCGGTAGGAGGAGTAAATAATGTCTTTCTTGATCGTTCGGCAGATCGTCGACTTGGGACAGCCCATGTCAGCGGCGATCTTGGCGTAGCTCTGGCTTCCATTGTCGACTGTCTCCTTGACGACAGCGACGAACTCGTCAGTCCTAACGGCCAAAGAACGAACGTTGTGGGCCTTTCGTTTGGCAGTAAACTCGTCCTTGTTCTCACACGCCTTCCACTTCCTCCAAATGTGCATGACCATGGTCCTCTTGAACCCAAACCAGGCTGTAGCAAAGAGAGGTATACACCCCCCCCCCATGAACGCGCACACGCAAATATAACTTTTACTGACTGGAAATGGAAACGGTGTTTATATATCAAAGTACTATTTGGGTTAAGATGTGTGTTTACCGATGAGAAACACGATCTCAGGGCAGGAAGCAATGTTTTAAACCTGGGTCATTAGTAAACAATGGGAATGGGCGAGATACTTGGTTTTGTTTAACAGTATTTGTTTTGATTAAAAAGTTGAATCAATGTTTAGTATAATTTTGGTGAAGCGAGAAGAACTCGTGATTGAGATAAGGTAAATAATTGGAGAATAGGTTTACATGTCAAGGGATAGTTTTTGGCACTCGTGGCAGCTGCGTGCCAGGCCGAGAGTAAATTGTGATCAGTTGATCCTTTTTCTATATTAACTCGAGGTTTTGCTAATAAAGAGAGTTGGGGAAATCGACTGTAGTCGAGAGAGTCACGAGACTATCGTCGCAATGAGTCGAGAGATTTGCGGGAGAATTTTGGAGGAGAGAAAGAAGACTGTCCCCTGTTCTGAGAAGTCCCTATGAGACGGGACTATTAGTCATAAACCTACCCCAGGCAATTCAATACGCGTTTATCACACACAAACCCTCTCTCTGTTGGGAATTCGCTGGATTCATTTTGTCTTTTTCTTTTTCTTTTCTCATTTATGTTAAATGTTTTTATTCTCCCTGTAACCTCTGTTCTGATGTTATAGACGTCAATATTTCCTCCATTGTTGTCTGGCTTCTGCAGATATTATTTCTTGTTTTATTTTGCCACATTCTAAACTTCCTAACACCAACTCTCACAGATGTGTCCACATTCCCAATCGACCGTGAACGTATGGACAACACCCCGCTTACTGGATCTAAAAACTAACACAGCGTGGGCAGCGAGCAGGACTTGACCAGTTGACTGGTCAAAATAATCTACGGGCAGTTACCCCTAAGTTCGGTTCGGACCGAGTGGACACCTCAACCCAAAGAGGAAGACACTGGAGGTTGAGGGGCTGGGGACGAAGTGGTAGAGGCTATCATTTCTGAAGGCTTCTTCCCGACGCAAAAAGAAGCTACTACCGCTGCTCTGCGCTCATATTCCATCCTGGAAAAGGGTAGAGAGAAAAATGTTAGTTAGTTGTCAAACTGCCTGGTCTCTGCATATACAACTTTTGTTTTTATTGCCTATTTCGTCTTCTTTTTTGTCAAGTGTCGGATTTTGCTGCAAAACCCTGTATATACAACATAAGAATGAAAATGTTCTCTAGGACACATAGAGAGTTTGTTCAGTGTTCCTGTCAGTAAAAAGATTTTCAAAAAATTAATCAGTTCAGATTAAGTAAATTCTGTCATAGTTTAATATTGGATATAGGTAAGAGTTGTCTCCCCTTACCTGTTGAATATTGCATATTTATTTTTTGTTAATGAAACAGATAAAAAGATGGAAGTTTAAATATTACGTGAATAAAGTTGATTCAACAAACGAGTAAATTCTTTTGAAGAAAGTAAGTTATGATCTTCTTGGAAAGTTTGTTGTAATCGAAATTAGTAAATGAAATGTTGTTTGATATCAAAAGTTGAATTTTATGTTTAAAAGTACATTAAATATTAAGAATCTTTTGGCTGTAAGATAGTTAACTCAAAGTAAGTTTGCGTTAGGTATGTTCAAAGTTGCTCTTTGAATAAAATGTTTGTTTTATGTATGTTCTTGTTGTCTCGATAAAAATCTAAATGAAAATGAAAAAATAAAGATTATTTTAAAAAGTTCACATTTGAAAATAGCATTAAGTTTTACATTTTTAGATTCTTCTAATAAATCTTTATTTAATACCTAGCTTATCAGCAACAACTAAGATCTGTAAGTGTTTCAAAAATTGTACTGTTAAAATACAAGTCATCATTCACTAAAAATATATGCATTAAATATTTTTTCCTTAGAAAACAGAAAATATAAAGTCAATTTTATTTAATTTAGTATCAGCAATTCTCCACAAAATTTGAGTTTTCAATTCTTTCCTCAAGATTATAGACTATATTTTTGATGTGTTCACAGTTGATATCAAATTTTTTCTTCACTTGATATAAAACCTTCAGATATTTTCAAATCCAGGGCCTTCTCACTTCCTGATTGATCCTGTTTTCAGGAGTGTTGCAGTTTTTGGGGTATTATCTACTAGTGACTTAGCCCAAATGACTTGACTCACTTTATAGTCCACCAATAGAAGGTTAACCAATCAGAAGACGTAGAATATTCAATCCGTTGTGTATAAAGGCGGCCATTTTGTTTACTCTATCCGAATGTCCAGTGCCAGCTTGTCAGGCGAAGAGGAACAGAAGGATGAACTACGCTCTGCTACTTTTACCGGGATATCCACTGCTAACCTGAACAACGCTTTCCTACTGTCTTCAAAATATTCACGGCTACTAACCTTTGGATTCTATATTCAAAGACGACCGTCATCATGAACAACAATATTGCTTGGCCAATTGTGGACTGGTTAAGCTATTTAACTCATAATTGGAGGTTTTTAATAAACAGTAGTCAATTTCTTAAACTGTTTAATACCCAAGGCTATACAACCCAGTCTGTCCTGCTATTCATCCATTGCTATGGGGGAAGGGAAGATGAGTTCATGCCTTTCCCAAGAGTATCTGCATGTAAGTGAATGTAACAAACTCTATTGGAATTCAAACCTGGCTATCCATTTCCTCGATCTGAGCCACTATCCATTACTCCAGGGATCTAACTTAATAAATATGTAAAAAAAATAAAACTTCTCTAGTATATATTAAGCCACAAGGAAGGGGTGGAGTATAACTAACCTGAAAAAAATATTTCAACAAAACTTTAAAAACACATTTAATATAAAGTACATTCATTAATGAATACATACTGAAAATTTCAATGAAATTTGATAATTTCATGATCTTTGGTAAGTTTCAAGAAACGGGGTATCAGTTTTCTTTGTTTTTTTGCACATGTCAGGACTGTGCATGATTCTGAATGTACTTACTTATTAAAGTAAGGTGGAGTTGTACAATGTAGAAAGGATTATTTTAATATTTTTTTCTTTTTTCTCATATCAATATGGATTAAGCACTCAAGATCATGAATATCTTTAAAAAAAAAATTATTAAATGTTGTACAAGTTAATAGAAGCATCTAGTTTGATATGTAAACTAGACCCCCCACACACACACACACTTTCCTATTTTCTTTTGTTTCGACTTGTAGTAGGCTGAGTTAAACTAAACAGGGATATATGAGAGTTGCTTCATCTTTTAAAAATTTGTGCAAGACTAAATTTTGTATGTGTCCCAACTTTACATTGGTAAAACCAAACAGCCCCATCAATAAACAGTTTTCTATTAACTTATATATACGTCCCTGTCAATCAAACCATTGACATTATCCTCAATTCTGTGTATACTAATAATTCTATCCCTCCACCATCCATCAAACCATCTATACTAAAAAAAATCACTACATGCATGCACAACCAAAGTTCCATTCTATGACCATCTTGGCAACATTTACACCCAAACTACTGGTGTTAGTATGGGAAATCCACTCGCTCCATGCTTTTCCAACTACTACATGTCTCATGTAGAAAATACGATATATATATATATATATATATATATATATATATATATATATATAACAAATAACATTTACAACACACAGTAATATTTAATTTGCATGACAAATTTTAAAAGCCTATTTCAATAAATATTTCCTCATTAGTTTTAACTTTAATGCCAAATTTAAAAATTGTTATCTGTCTCTCTGTCTCTCTTGTTTCTCTCTCTACATATATACTCGACTCTCCCGTCGAATTCGACATATGAGGGTCAAGCAGATCAGTTCCTAGGAAACCGACAGCCCGACAACAGCACATGACATTTGATTATAGTGGTGAAGGTTTCATGCAGGACCATCCACACTTTTTGAAGGGCTGAATACAGAGACCTGGTGCACTAAGTGCCACAAGGTCCCCAAACAACCCTCCGCAGGTTTTGAATTCAAAGTTGTCCTTCTCCTAGACCAGTTGCCATCCAAGGCTATAGAACCCAGTTTGTCCTACTATTTACCCATAGCTGGAGGGAGAAGAAGAGGATTCACACCTTTCCCAAGGGTATTAGCATGTAAGTGAATGTAATGGATTCGACAGGAATTTGAACTCGGCTCTCCAATTCCTCAATCCAAGCCGCTATCCATTACCCCACCGTGCCTTTTATTTATTTATTTATATATATATATACAGAAAGAATTTATATTTGTCTTGTCAAAATTCAGTTAGAAAAAAATGTGTTTATATTTAAAATGTAAAAAACATAATCTTAACTTCTAAAAATAACTTTTTTAAAAGGGGAAAATAATAAAAAATGCTTTTATAGAATTGTTAATTATTTTCTGCAGTAAAGTAAGTATTGTTGTTGTCTAACATTTCACATTACTAAAAATTAATCAAATGTAACCAAAAAATTTTATCATTATTACAAACATTAATTATTTTGAATTATTATTATTAATAAAGTATGACAGAATTATTTAATTTTATGGAATTTTTATTTCATTTTAATTGGATTTAATTAAAAAATATGTAAATAAAATAAATAACTTGTGTCTATTGAAGAAAAATTATTTAAATAAATGAAAATAATCTGTCGTTGAATGAATGTTTATAGTTAATAAAAACATTGCAAAATTATTTCAGTATGTAATTATAGTTTGTTGTTAAATTAATTTTTATTATTAATAAAAACAGAACTTTTATTACAACTTTTCTTTGTATTATTAGTTAAGTATACTAAAATATTTTTGTTGTTGTCGTTTTTTTGTTTAACGATAGAATGGCCAAGATGTGGAAACAGACATGTTAGCAGAGTAAAGTGTTAACAGGAACATTTCCAACTGCATCAAATTATTGATAAAATGAAAATCTCTCTTTCAGACACAATTCATATTGACCAGTTGATTGAAGCATGTGGCGGATTTGGCTATTACCAAAAACGAATGATATTCTTTCTGCTTCTCTTTGTGCTGGCATGTCCTTTTCAAACCATGAGCATGGCATTTGTGGGAGCAAATGTTTCCTTTTTTTGTTTGCCACCTTCATATAACAGTTCTAATATACCTGTTGGCATTAAAGAAGACCAATTTTTATCAAGTGTACAAACACCTGGGGACTCTTGCCAAGTGTATAATATATCCTTGAATGGAACGTACTATGTCAGTGTGACTGGAAATGAGACAACAAGCAGTTGTAATTATGGAAGAATATTCAAAACAGAATTCAGATCTTCAGTTGTATCTGAGGTAAGGAACATTTTAAAGCCTTTTTAATTGTTTTTTCTCTATGCTAAAAATATGAACTTTTGAGATGAAAGATTTTAATTCCCCCATTAATTGTTGATCAGAGATAATAAGATCAAAGAGTTTATTTGTCTGAATAATTTGTTGACTAAAAATGTAACAATGTAGTGATTCATAAAGCAGGAGTTGCATCCCCTGTCTTGTTAGGTTATAGTAAAGGAAGGGAAGTAGAATTCCCATAATGCACTAGAAAGACAGTTTTGGCAAGAAAATACAAAGTCTCAATCTCTCTCTCTATCTCTCTCTCTGTGATCACCAACTGTTGGACCAGAAAGACATGTTTTCTTCAATGAGCTCACAAGGAAGATAACTCTTTATATAGATAAACCTAAAACCATTTCTTTGCATTAATACATATAAATCAATAATGTGTGTTTGTGTGTACCATCTACAAACAGACTGTTTTTTGTATCACAGCTCATTAGTGTGGCTAGATATCCGATTGCCTCAAGCCATGATCAAAACCCAACCGATTTGGCCTCAGTCAGAGATTTTTCCCCTCAGCTATCAACTCCCAGCAGAGAGGAAGGTGAATCTTTATGTATTTATTTTAGAATAAACATGCCAGTGACTCAGAGTGCTCAATTCATAGAAGAGCTTTTGCATCAGCAGTAGCAGTCACTTTTTATAAATTCATGCTTTTCCCTCTAAAGTGATCAACCTTTATTTTATATATATATATATATATATACAGTTGCTTTTTGAGATTTTACAAATAAATGAATATACCTTATGACCAGTTGGGATGAGACTATTTTGTGGTTGTAATATGTAAATTAGGGTAAATTACAAGTGGTTGAGGGAGGAATGTAACAGTTACTGGTGTAGATTTTATCAGTAAGTAAATATATAATTAAGTGGCTGGTTGGATTAGCAATTGCTTAAGTTGGCTTGAAAAACCTTGATAGCCAAGCTTGGTAAAGTTTTTTTTTCTTTTTACTGATCTGCTGAATAAATAAAAAACATTGAATTACAATAAATTGAATTAGTTCCTGGAATTGCCTGGTTTTGATTTAACAGGGCTTAAACTAGTAGAATTTGGTGAAGCAAAGAGCATCGCCACAAACATATACACACTCACCACTAGAAAAATGATAATTGATTTAGAAAAGCTGACTGAATTACCTGGGACTTTAACCAAAATTCAGCAAAGGAATTTTATATTTTAATATTACTCCACCATTCTAACCTGATTTTCTGCAATATTATGCATATAAGATCAAAAGTTTGGTTATGTGACCGGGAGAATGAAGTCACCAAAACCCTTTCTCTGGTCCTGTTACTATGCATATATGCAAATTGACTTGTAACTTGATACCTGAAAGAAACATGCTTCTTATAAATACAGGAACCCACCAATAGTAATTGTCAGTCATCCATAGGCATTTGAAAAGGTGAGTGTGAGATGATTCACAGGGACAGTTCAAATAGGCAGATAAAATGACGCAGTCAAGACAGTTACAGTCAAGTAGTTGATATCACCACCTCTTTTCGCCACCTTACAAGATACTGTTTATGAAGAATTTCATCAAGTGAAGAAATTTTCCCTACCCTAAGAAGTTTTCATATGCAGAGTACTGAATGAGTGAAAAAATTGAAGACCAAATTTTGGAGATCAGCCGTGTCTGCAGGTCAGGTTCAAGATTATCATTCCTTGATTGAATTGTTGGACGTCACCAGCCCAGAGTAATATTGTTTTTTATAATATTTTGAGAACAAGCGTGACATTTAACTCACAAACTTGCTATTGAAGTGGGAAGGGTTAAACTGATAACTGTAACCTTTGACAAACTATGTTGTTTTTGTCATAGTCAGTTATCTGTTGTGAAAGTCACTCCCCTCTTATAATTTACTTCCTTTATTCCTGAGGATATTTAAACCAGTTTTACATAAGACTTGCTCAGATTAAAAACTGCTGCATGGGCATAGAAGTGAACAGGTCATGCCTCTAAAGACTAAGTTTTTCTAACAATATCAAGAAACATAATCCCAAAACATACACTGTGCGAAAACAGGAATTGTAAATGAACCTGTGGTAGGATTTTCTTTACCGGAAACTTTGGAATAAAACAAACTGACTCAAGGTTTAAAATAAATAATATATTTTTATTTATTTTCTTTAGAATGATGAGTGAGTCCTTAGGTATTCAGTGTAGCAAAATATTCATTTATAAGGTGGGTATTAGTAGCAGTATGGAGAAGGTCCAGTAGTGCAGTTTTGAAGTCAGACCATGATAAGGATAATAGTAATGCTAGAAATAGGCCAGTGTCAATCTACTATGTTTTTCTCAGCCCTAAGCAGGGGAGAAATGTCATTAGCAGATGGCTTCTGAACTCCTTCTTCACACATGGCTGGTTTCTATACAGTAGCATCTCTATTTATCACTTTCACTGTCTCTTCCACTTCTAGCTAAGAGGTGTCATTTTATATCCGTTTTGGCCAAGCTATAAGATTCTAGTGAACCTTGGTTTTGGCTAACATTAAAAGTCTCTTTGTGTCAATATTTGTTCCTTTTGTTTCATTTTTTTCATAATGGATGTTATGTGCAAAACCTCCCTGATTTTTGGTATTTTTCAGTTACAAATAAGTAGGCTCTGACCCTGCAAACTTCTGGCATTTTTCAGTCAGGTTCAGTCTTTTCGTCTTTCTCTTTTCATTTGAGGATTGCCTTCTTGTTAGTTGAAATAAGTATAGGAAGAAGTGGGATTCAGATTATTAAAAAAAAAAAAACAGATTATTCAGAAAAAGTCTGTACACTCAAGAAAAAATTATTGCAGGCAATAAATTTGATAAAATACAGTGACAAAAATTTAATTTAACGAAGTTAATACACATGATACAGTCAAGAAACATTTTGAAGTTTTGATGTCTATTGTTGTATTAAACTTCAGGCAAAATGAGTTTTTTATTGGTTTGTTTTTGATTTTATTGTTTGTTTGTTTTTTTAATGTCATTTCAGTATGTTAAACAACTATTTTTCTTTGAGCAGATTTGACTACTTAAAATTATCTACATTACCAACAAGTGCACTGTATCATGCTATCTGCGTTTGTCTATGTCAAAAAAAAAAAACAATGTAAAAGGTATAGAAAAGAGATGCAAGTAGTTCTGTTGGAAAAGGAAATTTAATCTTTCTTCAAAAAATCTGTTGAAGGAAGAAAAAATCTGAAATAATTAAAAAAAAAAGAAAACTTAATGAAATTATATAATTATGTGAATATATAACTCAATGATTATACATTCATAGATTCCTTCATCAGGTATATCTTAAACTTCTGTTCAAGTAATTATAGTAAGGGAAGAAATGAAAATAAATGAGAGGAGGAGGAAATGTTTAAAATGAGTGAGTAGCAAATGAACAAATGCAACAGATTAGAATGTATACTCCAGATGTAAGTGGAGGGAAAATAAATTCTTCATTTCATGGTTAGGCAATCAGTTCAACAAATATGGTCACATAAAATTAGATATCTTGAAATACTAATATAACATTTCATAAGTCAAATGTAGGATCCATGTAAATTCCACTTATTTATGCTAGTCATAGGCAAACTATGACCCATTTGTTTTTCTGAATGGCATACCTAATTTCATGTGGAAAATAACATTTATTAAAATTTTATTCAGTTTGTTTCATTCTCACTTGTTAAATCACAATCTCTCATATTTAACCACAATGATTAAGTATAACGCAATGTTTATTGAATTTTTATTACTTTTTCTTGAAGGTAATCTTTTCCTCATTTTATAAAATTGACAATATTTTTTTTTGTTTTATTCTTTAATTTAATCTTTTTTTACAAAGGAATAGCATACATATAAACATCTTTTGCTAGAGAAACAGGAAATGTATATAATAATGTTGTTTTGTTTTGTTTTTTTTTCTCTAAAGAATAGATATATTTTTCTTTTTAAAAATATTTTTATCTTGTCAAATGAATAAATTAAAACCAAAGTAAATCAGATGCAGTAGTTTTTGTTAATCACACTTTGATCAGTGATAATATTATAACAAAACTTCATTTTTTTTTAATAGAAAGAATCTTTTGTCCAAAGATAAAAAAAAATAACTCTACTTTTCCCTACATTTCCAAGGCAGATTCTTATGTGTACGGTTTTCTGTAGTGAATATGGCTGTGGTCAATTGTTTGAAAAACATTGCCTAAGCCTGATCTATACAAATAAAAAGTATCTATGTTTGTCTGCTCAGAAACTATTGGATGGATTTTATGTAAAAAATTATAGTAGTGAAGGGGGTAGACGAGCTTTTTGTCAGAAATTAAAACATTGTTACTTTTCTTACATTAATAATCTGTACAAATAAAATGAATTTCATTTTATGTTTGTCTTTTTATCTAGACAAAATTAGTTCCCTAACAACACTGAGTACTTCTGCTTCTATTAAATGAAAGGACAATATTTTGTTCTTTGATCCAAAACAGACAAAAAAATACACCATTGAACATTATTTTTCTTTGTTGTGCCTCTTCAGAATGTTGGCAATCATGGCTCTCTACAGATTCCTTTTCTTTTTATAATTTGTGCATTGTTATGCCTTCTTGGGAAAGATATTGGAGTGATTTCCTGTTGCTGTCTTCACAGTTTAGAATTCAGATTTTTAGACTGGAGAACCAAGTCTACCCTGCTATTTAACACCATTGGTAGGAGGAAATATGGATTCATACCTTTCCTAAGGATATTAGTGAGAAAGTAAATGCAATAGCTTAGGTCAGAATTTGAACTTAGTTCATCAAATTCCACACTCTCCGCTGATGTTATATTACCCATATATCCTTCTCCTTGAACAATAAATGACAACAAACACTTCTTTAAAATGAACTTCAAATGTTATTTTGAAGATACATATAGTCAAAATGCCTTTCACCCACAAAAACTTTTAAATTCCGACTGAATAGCTATTAAAGGATTCCTGTTGGTAGACATACACCATGACTATTTCTGTAATCAGATCCAAATTAATTTGTATTTTAAACTAATTTTCAGGACCAAAAGTTGTCTAACATATTCAACAGTGGCCACAGGTCATAGTCATGTATTGAAAAGTACACAATATTACATATAGTTAAATGAGGGCAGACATCATTATATTATTAGATAGTAGTGAGATTTGAAGGCAAATTACAGGGTCTGCAGGACAACTCACCACCACCAACTTAGGACTAAAACAACTCAGCACTAAATAACTGAATAAAAGTAATTTATGAAGCATTCACAATCACAAATTTCATGACCCATCAGGGTTGTAGGGGCACTACATGTACTGCAGCTGCAGTAGAAGCGATGTTTCTTGGGAAAGATAGTCTGACATAGACTAATCCACTCCAGGCTGGTTTTTGAATTCAGAGTTACCTTCTTCCAGAATGGTTGTGGTCCAAAGCTATAGAACCCAGTCTGTCTTGCTATTTACTCATAGCTGGGAGAAGAGGAGAATTCATATCTTTCCCAAGAGTATTAGCATGTAAGTGAAATTTAATAGACCCAACTGGAATTCGAACTCAACTCTCCGATTCCTCAATCTGAGCCACTGTCCATTACTCCACTGTGCCTCCTTGTACTGATGATATGTTGGCTTTGTCTAAATGTACCTCATTGTTTTCTTCTTTATATTTATATATATATATATATATATATATATATATATATATATTAAATGTAATTTTGCTTGGGGAGGGGGGGGAAGACATCATCAGCCCCACCACAGAAATATATAAATTACAAACAAATCCTATACAAGATAAAATGCAATAAGCATAAACAAAAATGATAAATGCTTTAGCAGATATCTGCTTCGTTTGACTGTCGAAGATAAAGAGAGTAAAAATTTGATTTCTGTTGTTCTGGTGCATGATGGGAGTTTTCATATTTATTTAAGTATTTTTTATAATCTCACTTTTTCTTTATTGTTAATTATCATTCTTAACTATATTCTAAAGTAATTTTATTACTTAACTTTTAATTTTTCTTTTATCATTTATTATTTTGGTTTTTATACCTCTACAGAGTCTTGTACTAAGGGTCAGAGGTTACTTAATGATTTATCTGTTGCTATCACTATAAGTCCATGACATAGGGATTACAAAAATCATTTATTTTTCAGCATAATCAGCTTTGTCAATGCATTTAAATCAATGCTTCTCCATTGGTCACAGAAACTGAACATTTGTACCAACAGAATTTCAGATAAAAATCCATTTAATAACTGTGTTGGGCTATATATTAATCCATTCACCTATATATAGCCAAGAGTAATGTTTTTTTAATAATGACGAACTGAATTTGAATGAACTGAAACAAGTAAATCTTTGAAAATTTAAGCAAAAGTTTGTCATCTTAATTCTTTTTTTTTTTTTTTGCCATAAATAACTACAAAAAGAATGATATTGCATTAACTTTTCCAGTTTTATTTTGTAGCACTTTTTATTGATCAAAACATTTTTCCTTTTTTTTTCCTTCTCAAAGTTTGAATTGGTGTGTGAAAGGAAATGGCTAAAGAGTACATCAAAATCAGTGTTTTTTGCTGGTCGTCTGGTTGGAGCTGTAATCTTTGGTCAGTTAGCTGATAGGTGAGTTAGTTTTGTGATTCTAAGAAGCTTTAAGGTGTCTTCTGTGTGATCATATTCTTGAAAATATAGTTTTTGAATTTAGTCATTTTTTTTTCATTTTTTTTTTTAGCCATTCTATCTTAGTAAGTAAATCCGATAGAATGGATTTCTCATTAACTTATTCCTCACTCTATCTACTATCATGTCTGTCACTAACAAAGCTATGATCTATGGCTGAAAGTCTCCCAGAGTAAAAGGTATTGACATGAAAATAAACTAAATGATTATGATTAGAATAGAAATGCCGTTGATAGTTTTCAGAGTTGCTAATGATTGTGCTAGTTCAAACTTCTAAATTAAACAACTAACCTATATACAATGATTACAATTTATTTCACTAAACTAGTATGCAATTGTTTGATTATAAGCATATCCTAACATGTCTAAAACAAATGATCAGGTGTTACAGTTTACTCAAAGATGACCTCAAAGGAAACAGTACTTGAGTGTACCATTCTGTGTTATATACCTTTTATATAAATTAGTACAATTGTAAAATTATCAAGACCAATATTAACTTGTTACATCCTAAATAAACTTTTTTAAACTTCAGCTTTTATGAAACTGAAGTTTAAAAAAGTTTTTATGATTCATGAACCTTTTTATAATGGCTAAAAATAAAATAATTGGTGGGTTATAATATGGGGAGTTACCAACTGACTACTGCATGAGCATAGTGGTGAAAAGGTCATGCAGCTAAGGACTAAGCTTTTCTGAATGTAACAAGAAGCATAATCTCAAAATGAAGAATACACTGTGCAAAACAGGAATTGTAAATGAACCAATGTCTCAGAATCTATCACCTAATCCATGAATGCCATGATCAACAATTAAACTGGTTTACTACCTCCCTCGTCATCCCCACAATATTGGTTTGCCCAAACTACACAAGCAATAGGTTACAAATAACTCTGGAGTTTATGGTATACAAATAAATGACCAAAGTCAAATCTACCTCTGTGTTGCTTTGGATAACAACAAAGTCTAAGGATTCAATACAAGTTGTCAACAAAGTTTTACTACATTACCGACAATCAATCATAGTCTCACTTGTCTTGGATAGATGACTTTGGTCACCAAAGCAGGATGGTGCTTCAGGTCAAAAAAAAAAAAAAGAAAAGGGTGAAATTGATTGGATACATTGTGCTCACGCTTACTGCCTGTACTGACTGCACCCAGTTCATTTAGAATACCAAATTTTTATGCACTGACTGCTGCAAACTTCATTGCTGCTACCAAATTCACCATCTTTATTCTATCAAGTGAGGAGAAGACTATATATCTGGTCAGCTCAATTACCCGATATCCCAAAGTTGGCACAAAACTTCTAAAAAATCAAATAATTGTGACCGCTCCACCACAATCAAACAAGGGTTAAACCTCTGCCCCTGGTGATTAGAACAGAAGTAGAGGCTTAATCCTTGTTCTCTATTAAGATTGGGTTTCTGGTTCCTTCTAAAGTTTTTACTTCAACTCTATATTCCTGAACTCTGAAATTTTATTCACTAATTAAATCTTAACCTGTTAAAGTCTAGAATTAGTTGTCTATCTTTCTTACACTAATACAACTCCACAGAGTAACCCTCTACCTTGAGTGGCCCTCGGGCCTTGTATTGGATGAATAAAAAATTTTTTAAAAAAAACCTATTCCAAGACATCAGCTAACTAGAAGAAGCCACAGATAACACCAATTACGAAACAAGGAATTCACACACACACATGTACATTCATTCATGAATCCTAATGAGATCTAGGTATATTGTTTTATGCCAAATAAAACTTAACTCTTATCATGATACATTATTCTTGTAACCATGACTAAAAATAGGTTGGTCAGTGGGGTGTAATACAAGGTCTCTGACTGCTGTGTGGGCAAAGAATTGATCAAGACAGACTAGAACATTGCCCTACTGGTTGGGATCAATAATTTGATGTCCACATCCCCATACAGCAGGGTAAACCCCTCCAAAAAAACAGCAACCTGTTTACTGTACCTATATCAAAGCAACAGAATTTAGCAGTAAATAACATAGAAAAGGTTGATATACCATAAACTAAACTAAAACAAGTATGCCCATTCACTGAGTACTTCATTCGACTAATATAAACATTCTTTGCAAACTTTGCTTTCCAAAAAACTCTTTTGTATATTTCAGTATATAAATTACACCAATTTTGCTAACCCTATTTGCTTATTCATTCTTCACCATTTATTTCACCCTTTGCCTGACCAACAAATAATTACAAGTGTTGTTCCTATCAAATCAGTCTTTCTTACTCCCATCTCTTTTCTTTCCTTCCTTGCCTTTCTATACACACATATATAACAAACTGAAAGAATATTCTATCATTGCTGATGTTTGGCCTCTTTTACTTGCAGATTTGGTCGTTATCCTTGCTTCTTCATAAGTACTGTTCTGTTAAGTTGTTGCGGAATTATCAATGCATTTGTTCCTTCTTTTATACCATTTATCATTTTATACTTCTTCCAAGGATTATGGCAAATTGGGGCTTACTTTTGTGCCTACACAATTGGTAAGTAGTTCTCTCAAATGTGAGATTTTCTTTCATTCAAGAACCTATAATATGTTTTTTATTTATTTTACTATTATTTACTATCAGACTGACCACAGTTGTAATCATATTGTCATTGTGAACACCATGATCCTTTCATTAGCTTCATATAGTATGTGCTTTACAAGGGTTAAATACTGTTTTTGAATTAGTTGTCCTTCTCCTTGACTATTTACCAACCCAGAATGAAGAGCCTAGTTTACTCTACTATTTAACCCACAGCTGGAGAGAGTAATGGATTCATACATTTCCCAAGGTTATTTGTGTGTAAGTGACTATTTTATATTCCATACTGCTGTCTATTACACTCTCCACATATCCAAACTTACAGCACTTTAGTATCTGTCTATATTCACTGGACAATATTTCAATTTCAACTCCCACCATACATACAGTGTAAAGAAAGGGATCGTCTGCTGCTTACAACAACGAGCAAAAGTCATAAGTGGCGACCCAGAGACATCAGATAAAGAATTGGTCAGTATAAGTAGTACCCTACAACATAACAACTACCCTGAAAAATGAAAATACCTACTTTTACATACCCCACGAGCATTTCAGGGACATATAATAATTTTATAAAAATCCCTTTTTAAATTCACACTTGTTCATACTTGGGAAAATTTCTTTGAATCCTTTTCATTCTTTGTTGTTCAACCACAGAAGAATTTCCACTTGAACTTAAAAATTCTTCAGTCTCTCTGCAGCTGGCTTGTAACCTTGTGCTTTTTTGTTGCACTCTTCTTGATGTCAAATGCCATCTACTCCTTGTTGATTTGCCTTGTTCCTTTACTGTCAAAATGTCTTCTCTCATCATCTTCTGACCTAACTTTTATATATTTGTAAAAATAGGCTCCATTCAGGTTCTTGCTAGAGCTTCAGTATATATGAAAAAATAAATTTCCATAATCATCAGTTCTCAAGTTGGCATCTACACAGACAACACTACCATTTACGTCTGTCTCAAAAGTAAATCCAGAATTGCTGACAAAGTTAACCTGGCTGTTGGTCTTGAAAACAACCTTCAATCTATGATTGACTGGGGCAGGAAATGGTTTGTGAATTTTAATGCATCCAAAACAAAACTGCTGTCATTTACTCACCATAAAGAAACATCCTTACCTCCTATCAGCATGGATGATGCTCAACTCCATGAGTGCACCTCACTGCACCTTCTTGATCTCAGGTTCTCCACTGACCTTAGGTGGAACAACTACATTGAATCAATTTCTGCATCTACCGCAAGGAAAGTTGGTTCTCTGTGTCGCTCCAGAAGGTTTTTCTTGTCTGAGTCCATCCTTCACATCTATAAATCAACCATTCATCCATGCATGAAATACTGTTGCCATATATGGTCTGGTGCCCCTGCTGTTCATCTCGAGGTTCTTGACAAAATCCAAAGACGGATATGCAATGTGATCAGTCCTGACTTGGGCTTTCGACTCCAGTCACTTTCTCACTGACATAATGTGGCTTCCCTCTGTCTTTTCTATAAATATTTTCATGGCATCTGCTCTGACAAGCTATTTTCACTGGTACCCTAAGTGTATGAATTTAAGTGTGCTAATAAGTTGGCATCTCGATCCCACCCTTTTACTGTCAAAACAGTTAAATGTAACCACCTCTTCTACTCCAACAGCTTCTTCTTCTCACACTTCCTAACAGTGGAACTCCCTTCCTCTTACTTGCTTCTCTGATAACTATAATCTTTAAATATTTAAATGTAATGTCAATCAACATCTTCTGTTACCTTGATCTTCATTCTTTTTTTTATCCTTTCCTCAATCCCTCCCTCAATACCCAGCCTTTTCCCTTACTAACACACTCTGTAACCCTTTGTATATTAGTGGCACTCTCACCATGCCTGGGTTGATTTGCTTAAAAAAAAATAGAAATAGATCCTTCACAAATTTGACAGTTTTAACCGCTGAGCCGAAAAAGATATAAAAACGGTGACAATTTTTTACACAAGCCTTCTGGCTTTCATAAAAATACACTTCTTTAAAAAGAACATGTTCTAAAAAACAACCTAGACAATTTAACATTTATTCAAGACTAATATTTTTAAAGTAGTAAAAATAAAATTTTTATAAGTAACTTCAATATAGTCTTATCTGTTTTTGGTAGAAAACTCAATATGAAAATATAATAGTTGCAATAATATTCAATATGTCAATAAATTTTTTAGAAAATTTTCATCCATTTAGTTCATTTTTGTTTTTACACTTTGATTTATATCTGCAACAATTCTCTAAAAATATCAAAAAATTAATTTAGTATAAAAAAATTACTAGTGTAAATAGCAACAAAAGGTTTGAAGAATATCTTAATATTTGATGGGAATAGATAATGTAACTGATGTAATAAATATGCATACACCTGGGTACCCCCTCACATTAACATGATTGGTTGGTGTCAGCCATAAATACAGACTGATGTGGAGGGCACCTATGGATGATGCCTATTGTCTTCGCATATCGCCTACACCTATTGTCTTTGCCTATTGCCTACACCTATTGCCTACCACTACAACGAGGACCAGTCCATTACGGTTACCTGCTAGATTGTCCCACTCAGTTACAGTAGTCCAAAACCACTTTGCTACTTCAAACAAATATATCCCTTTCCAGGGCATATCAAGAACAAATATATTTTTACATTGAATTATAGGCACATAAAAATATTAAAAACAAGACAGTTTGTCTCTCAATAAAATTAAGAATTGACTCAGGGCTGTAATAAATCAAGAAATGAAACAAATATTACTCTAGTAACTTTAAATTTATTGTCAAAGGGTTTCTTACACTTGTTTCTTAATAAATTTTAAATTCATATATGTTTTAATTATAAATGTAATATATACATTTACATTTTCATGGTCAAATTTAGCCACCTTTTAAATGAATTAAAGTATTTACCAATACATTTGAAATTAAAGATATTTTGATTTATTATCAAATTATAATAAAGTTTAATAACTTCTTTTTTAGATTTATAATTTCAGTAGTTATTTATAAATTAGATGAAAAAAATTAATATCAGGTAGATAAGTCTATTGCGCCTGAAAAATTACAATGGAAAATTGTTTGGAACTGAGAAAGTAACTATAAAATTTTCTGTTAGTAAGTAAAACATCAAAATTCACTGTCCTAAATAATAAAATTAATACTGTTTTGAATTATACAGGCTAATAAGTTAATGTCTGTTATAATGGCTAGAGTAACAAATAATTTTATATTCAGTTGTTTCATCTTTGGAACTTATTTGATGAAAAAGTTTCCAGCAAGGTTATATTAAATTTGACAGACAATTTAATATGATTAGTAATAGACAGATATAAGTATATTGGTAATTTATGCTTTAGGGTTAAACATCATTTCTAATCTCTAGTAATATACATAACAAATATTGAGTGTTGTGTGCAATAGATTATTTGTCTTCATTAAATATAAATGAATTGTTAGTAAACTGCATATACTCATGTATAGTGTAACACCTGAATTTTTTTTTGCATGAATTTTAACCCTCCAGAAAAAAATTTACCTCTGTATAGTGCAACTCCTATTTTTTTTTTTTGTGTGCAAAAAAAAAACTGATCATAAAAAAATCACACTATACACATCTATATACAGTAATTGTTTTTATATTAAATGAATTAACATTTTATTGAATTTTAAAAACATTAAGAAACAAAAATTAAATTGAATTTAAATTAAATTAAATATATAAAATATTTAAATATATAAAAATAATTAAATTTAAAATTAAATTAATTATTGTATTGTTTTATATTTTATGAATTAACATTTTATTGAATTTTTAACCATTGTTTTGATACTGTTTTTAATATATAAATGTGTTTATTGTTATTATTTTTTTGTTTTTTTATATTGCAGCTATAGAAATTGTTCCATTAAAATATCGAATGCCAGTTAATTTCATTGTGCATATCAGTTATGCAATAGGAATGATGATTCTTGCAGGAATAGCTTATGCTGTTAATGATTGGCGCCAACTGGAGATCGCTATTTCTGTGCCTTTTATTTTCTTCATATTCTGCTGGAGGTATGTTCTTACAATTCTTTACAGCTTTTTTGATTTCAGTTGTGGTTGTTTTGATTATAGAGATTTTCCCACTTTAAATTTTTGCTGATTCTTTAATGAACCATGTCCCTTCAGAACATTTTCAGTTACGTTTCTCCACAACTTCCTGTCCTTTGTAGCTTTGAGCAAGTTTTGTCTTTTGTGATCCCTTCTAATCCATATCCTGCCAATCATTTGCATAAACTCATTAGGTAAGTATTTAACTAAAGCAAGATGTGACACAAGGTTAATTTCTTTTTTATATAGGGAGCACCATACAAATATGAGACAGTAGACGTATATTTGGCAGAATTAAAGAAGCTCGCCATACCGATCGCACCACTTCCTGAAGAATGGATGACCTGTGCCTTCATGTCTGGATTGCATAGTCATGTTAAGCAGATACTCCATGCATCATGCAGAATGGAAGACATGACGCTTAATCAATTGTTGACCAGAGCCCGGGCTATCATGATCAACAAAAAAGAGGCTGATGAACCAGTGGCCGCAGTTGTTCAACCAATTGAAGTCAAAGAAGGCCCGATCCCAGCCATCCATCGCCATGGCGATGTCACCTGCTATCGGTGCTCTGGGCCGAATAATTTTGCCAAAGACTGCCACTATCAACGTAAAGCAATGCGCAGCGGGTCGGTGCGAAAGGCACATTTCGTTCTAGGATGTTTCCAATGTCATAAAGTAAGTCACATTGCCTCTAAATGTCTGGGAAATAGAATGCGACGTCAGCCGGTCTCTTCTCCGCACCGATTATGAAAGAGGTGCTCCCTGTGATTAAGGTGCGCATCAATGGAATAACATGTTCCGCAACGTTGGTTGGCTGCTGCTCGGAAAGAGTCTGAACCTCTGCAGCTGCCGTGTACGGTTTCTGCACAGTATGGACCTCGAGCGGATCATGTGCATACATGAACAGTGTGGGCATCCTGGGATTAAATGGATGCTCTACTTCTCAAAGAAAGAGACGAAATCATTTTTTTTTCATGACACATTCCAACACACTCATTAGGAAGGAAAGTGATAGATAACCTATGTCCCCCTTGCCTTCAATGTCTTGTGAGGGTCAAATTTTCCAAACCCTCTTTCCCCTTATATGACAGTGAATACTGGGCAATTTCATTATGGAAGGGAAGGAGACTCAAGGCAAAAAGGATGTGGTTTTACAGGAGGATGCTCAGAATACCATGGATAGAGCATATGACCAACGAGGAAGTTTTAAGCAAAATAGAAACAAAAACGACATACTCAGAATCGGTAAAAGAAAATTGAAATTTTCCTGGGTACATAATGAGGAAGGAGGACTTGGAGAATTTGATACTGACAGGACATGTTGAAGGTGAAAAGGACAGGGAAAAGCAGTGGGCCAGCTACATGATAAGCTTGTGTGAATGAGTTACAGAACTGGAGGTGGGAGCTTAGCAAAGGGATAAATGTTGCTAAAGGCTACAAGGGATAGGAGACTGTGAATAGTCATAATCATCCATGTCCATGTGCTTTCAGGACATGGCACATAAAAATCTTTAAACTAATTGATGTACTCTGAAGAAGTAGAGTACAGTGTCTCTTTTTAAGTGCATTTTTGTAGCTCAAATTTCATCCAAATATAAATTCTTGACAAATTGGTTACAAAAATAATTTCTTTTTTTTTTCTTAAACACTCATTCAAGAATAAGTGATCTGATGAAGAACCATATAAATATACCTGAGCTGATTTGGATATATTTTTCTACATCTGCTTTCTCGTAACTGGGAAGAGTTTTTACCCCCTTCTTGTTCCATTTTGCAAAAAGACATTTTTCATTGCTCACATTGAACAGAAAGTAGAAATTTTGTTTCCTTTACTTTTCAAGTAAATTCTAGAGTTATGCTTCATAGACATGGAAAGGAAACTATAGGAACTCCTACAGAAGGTAATAAAAAAGTGAGAAGAAAGGACTAACCATCAATTGTAAAAAGACAATTTATGGTTGTTAGCAAAAGGAACAGCCCAAGTTACAAATTGGAGATACCAAAATCAAGCAAGTACAAAAATATAAATACCTCAGAAGTGTTTTAACAGAGGACGGAAAATGTGACACTGAAATTCAAAGGTGTATTTAATAGAAAAAGATGCCTTCCAAAAGCTTAACAAAGTATTAAGAAATAGGAAAATTTTCTTAGAAACAAAGAGTATTGAAATACAGTGTAATATCAGTTTTAATATATATACTTTTTTTGTTTTTTTTAAGCAACTCACTCCAAGTAAGGTGAGAATGCTACTAGTATGCAACAGGCTACAGAGAGTGTAAGTAAGGAAAAAGACTGGGTGTAGAGGGGCTTGAGGAAAGGATAGAAAGAAATGAGAAGGATAAAAAGTAGAACAGGGATCAAGTCAACAGAAGATGTCAATTGACATTACATTTAAATTTTTGAAGATTATAGTTATCAGGGAAGTAAATAAGAGGAAGGGAGTTCCATTGTCGCAAAATGAGAAAGAAGCTGTTGGAGTAGAAGAAGCAGTTAAATTTAACTGTTTCAACAGTAAAAGAATAGAACCAAGACACCAAACTAGTAGCACACTTAAATTCATGCACATGGGGTACCAGTGAAAATAGCTTGTCAGAGCAGATGCCATGAAAATATTTATAGAAAAGACAGAGGGAAGCCACATTACGTCAGTGAGAAAGTGACTGGAGTCGAAAGCCCAAGTCAGGACTGATCACATTGCATATCCGTCTTTGGATTTTGTCAAGAACCTCGAGATGAACAGCAGTGGCACCAGACCATATATGGCAACAGTATTTCATGCATGGATGAATGGTTGATTTATAGATGTGAAGGATGGACTCAGACAAGAAAAACCTTCTGGAGCGACACAGAGAACCAACTTTCCTTGCGGTAGATGCAGAAATTGATTCAATGTAGTTGTTCCACCTAAGGTCAGTGGAGAACCTGAGATCAAGAAGGTGCAGTGAGGTGCACTCATGGAGTTGAGCATCATCCATGCTGATAGGAGGTAAGGATGTTTCTTTATGGTGAGTAAATGACAGCAGTTTTGTTTTGGATGCATTAAAATTTCCAAGCTATTTCTTACCCCAGTCAATCACAGAATGAAGGTCATTTTTGAGATGAAAATGAATGCTGTACAACCCCCTCACAGATGAAGAAGAGACTTGAGGGAACAGAAATGGGATTCTACAGAAGGATGCTGAGGATACCATGCACTTGAATATGTCAGTAAAGAGAAAGTTTTAAGGAAAACGAAAACAAAAAGGATTTTTATACTTTGTTTTGTGAATCATTGATTTACCAATAATCTATATATAAACACTCTTTTTTATACTAACCTATATAACTACAATATACCTGAAGTTTCCAGATTTCCCCCCAAAATACAATTAGTTCCCCATGAGGAGCTAAAATGCTGTCAGCCTGACCCACTACCTAAAAACAGTACTGCAAAGTCACAATTTGATCATGCTTATTAATGTTCTGGAATTTGAAAATAGTTGTGATAAAAAACATCAATTAAATGAAAAAAAAAACACCTTAAACATTATTCTATCTACCCCTACTACTAGATATTAAACAAACAATATGACTTGGAGAAAAGATGTAACTTCATAATTAACTTGGGTCCAAAACAATGCAGATGTTTTCCATGTGAGATGAGATTTCAAGGATATAGAACATGAGTTCAAATCTCATAGAATTTTCTTTATTTCCTATTCCTTATATAACAAAGAATGTAAAACAACCTGAGTGTTGCAATTAAAAAGTAAAAATAAAATGAAAAAGAAACTACTAATGAAAATTCAAAAAACTTAAAACCTACTTTGTCTATATCACATATAAATAGATTTTAACTGTTCCAAAAAGAATGTAATAATAAAACAATTTGATATAACTTCAGTTACCTTGACTGAAAAGATAAACATAGTTGCATAGCTTATTCAGTCATCCTTTAAATGATATATTAACAAAGCATGGATAGAGGTGAAATTTCTAGGGCCCATAATGAGGAAAGTGGGTTTGGAAAATTTGACCCTCAGAGGATATATTGAAAGCAAGAGGGATAGAGGAAAGCAACAATTAACCAATCTAATGAGTAAAGGAGTTGAAAGTAAAATTCCTACTATGATTTAATATTAGCTCACTTCCTCTATCAAGAACTCATAAACTGTCAAATTATGAAAGATTATATAATTGATCTTGGTTGATCAATAATATAATCTTTCATAATTTGACAGTTTATGTGCTCCTAGTGTAAGAATCATTGTAAAGTGAATGTGCAGTTATTTCTATGATGTTTTTATTGTCAAATAATGTACTTTGTTTACTGATATATCTATATATTTGTTGTATTCTTATTTGGAATTCTCCTTTTCTTGTAGAATTATTCCAGAATCTCCACGATGGCTCTTAGTTCGGAGAGAAGATGTCAAATGCAAAAAACTACTAGAAAACATAGCGCGAGTGAATGGAGTAAAATTTGCAATTGATGAGAAATCTTTACAGAAGATGATGCCTAACAAGAATCTTGGCAAAGTTAAGACTTATACATTTGTGGATTTGATAAGTAAATGCAGTTTGGCCAAGTTATCTTTTAACGTTTGGTTCAATTGGTAAGTTCATTGGCAATGTATATAACAATATTTTTCATTCATCTATTTCCTTGGCAGAAATTAATCTAAACAAAGTATAGTATCTTATGAATTCAGAAACTAAAATTATATTTTCTGATAGATTTGTCTTTATTTGAACTGATTGAATTGGAAATTAAGTTGTATTCAACATTTAATGTGAAAAATAAAACTAAATAATTAATAGTAATAAAAACAAAATAATGCAATAATATTGCTGTGGAGAAAATGAAATAAAATCAATAAATAAAATATTATTAATAAAATAAATAGTAATAATAAAGAATAAAAAAAAGACTTAAATTTTCCTATGATTCAAGTAATAAAGGAACTGGAAAGGGTTTTTGGTCATCTGTGCAATTTTATTACCTTACTTGGCTTCACCAAACACTCAGTAGGTGATGTTGTTTATGTTCTATAAAAAGACAAACATTTCTTTCCTCTTTTTATTTTTGCTCCAAGATGTATCAGTATATAGATAGATGAAGACTTCCCCACTGAAATGTTTTTTTTTTCTTCCTTGGTCAACTGACAATTGAACTCTCTTTACACTTTCCAATGCATGGTGTTCAGACATGTCTCACCAAACCACCACTGATGAAGTAAGTACGACCTTTATTTTGATCATTCCAATGCAGCACATACCTGACTTGAGCTCGATCATTATAATCATGCTTATCATGATTTACCTTAACTTACTTCTGAACCAGAAAAAGAAGCTCTTCTCACTTTCCAATGCATAGCATTCAGATGTGTTTTGCAGAATCCACCAATGAAGTAAGTACAAGCCTTACGTTGGTCATTTCAACTCAGCACAAGGTTGACCCAAGCTCAACCATTATGACCATTCTTATCCTTACTTACCCTAACTTACTTCTGAACCAATGATAAAAATGGGCATATCCAAAAGACATTGAGAACTTTGTTTACTATAAAAAAAAGAATAAGTGATCTGTAGTAGAAACCAAAGTTTTACTGCTTCTACGTTAATTGCTTATATGTGAACATGCACTGACTTAAAATACACACAACCCTAAATTACATATTGTCTCCAGATTTATATATGTTCAACTTTGGTGGTGAATGGTGGAAAAGGTTCTTTAAAAAATTTGTATCCATATTAGTACACCCACTAGAAATTAGTATTCCCCCAGAACGCCCTAAAAAATAAAGTTCACTGTTGCATTTTCTTATGTATATGTGAACTAAAATGTAAAAAATTAATTTCATTTGGTATGTCATTTTTAATTAGCTTTGTGGATATTAGCCCAAAGATGAGATGTTGGGTATTAATGGATCCTAGCTACAATTAAAACCAGATTTTGATTTTTATTCTTAATAAGATTTTATGCTGAGAATTAATAAGTTAATGAGTAAATTGAAATTTATGTGCTAAAAGCTTAAAAAAAAGTTATACATTAAATAATCAATATGTAACTTTTTAAATATCTAATAAATAAATGTTAATTAATAATTATTAACATAAATTATTAAATAATTTCATTTTCAAGTTAAAGTGTTTGGCTGCACTAAAAATGGAGTTGAATATAATTGAAACATTATTTATCTAAAAATTAATAAAAAAATACATCATTCTTTCATTAATCACTCTTTCTGGCTGTAGCAGATTGCAAACTAACATGACTTATTTCTTGCCATTCATTATGATCTTGAGCAAATTTATTTAATGTCTGTCACTCCTTATTTGGTAACCACAAAATTGTTATCCCACCGCCTCTGTTTTGATTGTCCTCTACTCCTTTTTCCAAGCACCATTCTCTCAAGACACAATTTAGTGAACACTGCATGAGATATTTTAATGCGTCCAAATAATTTTAAGGATTTACTATGGATGTTATTTGAAGAGTGAAGACAAATTTATTATACTTTTAATTTAGTGGTTATCTCTGCTATCAACTTTTGACTTTGGTGAAACAGAAAAGTACTAAGAAGAGGAAACAGTTATGTCCTGACCTGAAAAAGAAGTGGTATTGAGCAAAATTTCATAGTAAAATTAGCTCAGGGAGAAGTGTTCTAATGGAATGTCCCACACTCCCTATCGCATATATGGACTGAATATATCAGTAGATATATATAGTAAGAACAGGATATACGTGGCGGACTTTATTTGGGAATTACTAGCTTGCTAACCGATTCCGTGCCTATCAGTAGTGTATTCTCTTTTACAATAAACCTCTCTTTCTTTCATCTATGTACATGTTGCAGTTCCTGTCACTCAAGTACCACCTTTGTTTTTTAACCTTCTGGAGGATACAACAGACCTATGATTATATAGTTTTGGAATGTTTTAATTTTGTTTTTGTCTTTTTTTAATCATTTCACCCCAAGCAAGGCATTAATGCCACCAAGACACAAATTGTTTCAAATAAGAGGTTTGAGCTGAAAAAAAAATTTTCTGAAAGTGTGTACTTGTACGACCCTGACCTTTTTACCTTTAATTTTTATTTAAAATTTCTCAGTAAATGCTTGTAATCCATGATAAAAACTCATCAGACAAGACCCAGCTTCTTAAAAAAAAATATATATATATATATCTAAAATGGAACAAATTTAACATTAAAAAGGAACTTTTAATTCAAATTTTAATGTAAAAATTCAGACATTAATAATAATATCCAATATATATACTTATATGTACAAGAAAGATTCTTGGATTTATGGTCCGCTCTGTTTGCTATAGAAAGTTGTAAATCAATCCAACCTTTAAAAAAACATTTTCTAACAATGCTACAGTCACATATTCGATCTTTCATAGTTTAAGGGCTTAATGTTTTTATTTATGAAATAACTTTCTTGTACATATTAATGTATATATTGAACATTATTATTATTGTCTGAATTTGACATTAAAACTTGAATTAAAACCTCCAATGTTAAATTTGCTTCTTTTTATATATGAGATTTATTTATGAGACTGGGATCTTGTCCATTTTTGGGATAACAGGCTCAGATTTTGTCTGCTATGTTTTTGTCCAGTGACTAATTCATACAGAGATATTATGACTTAAAGCCAAAAACTCCTTGTAGTTACTTGATAGTTATTCAGAAAGCTACTTGACTAATCATGAAAATTTGACTTGCTAAATTTTAAGGAAAAACATTTTGTGAGGTATTCAATCACTCCATAGTACAAATGGAAGATTAATAAGTAATAATTTTAAAATCTGTTCATGAAAAGTCCAAATTTCTATTTGTATACTATGTAAGGAAATAATGATGGAAGAGCAAGTAATTTACCTTGTATAGATGGCAGATAAGACTGGAAAGGATTGTTGGGGGGAGGGACAGCACTTTACAACTACAAAGAATGGGAAGTTGTAGAGAGCCATGTTGCCCACATCTTGAAAGGAACATGACGTATAATAAAGTATAACTATTATAAATTCATCTTTTATAATCATACTTATTATAAAACCCAGGTTGTGTGGGTGTGTGTGTCTGTTCGTTTATATATTGGATCGGATTTCCTACATTTTTCAACCAATTTCAACAAAACTTCACAGGACGACATAAAATTACCTCTGACAGTGCCAAAAATTGGAAAAACACAATTGTTTTTGCATGAAATCAATTTGAAAACATGATTAAGAGGCATCACTGTCACCAGAATGAAAAGGGGACAACTCATATCGAGTTATACTTATTATAAAACCCAGGTTGTTTGTGTGCGTGTGTGTTCATTTATATATGGGATCGGATTTCCTACATTTTTCAACAGATTTCAACAAAACTTCACTTTTTTTTGGCAGGTAATGTTTCTTATTGTCTTGCACACTTTTTTCTTTATTTTTACATTCAGAATGCTTTTAAAATTCCATTTACAATACAATTGTTTATAATAAAATTCTATTCAATCAGTAAACTCATAACAATTGAAAACAATGTTTTTGTTTGAGTTTGGATTTTTACCAATTCATAAAAAAAAAAAACTACTGCTAGTCATTTATAAAATGTAAATTCTTGGATTCATGGTTAAAAAAATTATGGTATATTTTTTACTCATAACTCTGCCCTGTTATTATTGTTCAGTTAAAATCAAAGAAATACAATAATTTAGATATCTGGGGAGTGTTTTAAAAAGAGGATGGAAAGTGTGATACAGAAATCTGGGTGTAGCAGCACAGCAAAAGTTGCTTTCCAAAAACTAAGCAAAGTATTAAAAAAAATCAAGAAAATTTCATTAGAAACTAAGAAAAATGTATTGAACTGTTACATAATATCAGTACTCAGTGAATTCTGAACAATCTCCTCACAGATGAAGAAGAGACTTGAAGCAACAGAAATGTAGTTCCACAGAAGGATACTGAGAATATCAAGAACTTAACATGCAACCAATGAAAAAGTTTTACAGAAAATAGAAAGAAAAAGGACAATTATACTTAATATAAGAAAGAGACAATTGAAATTTATAGGGCCCATAATGAGGAAAGAGGGCTTGAAAAATTTGACACTCACAAGACATATTGAAGGCAAGAGAGCCAAAGAAAAATTGTGTGTGAGCTACCTCACAAAACTTGTGTAAATGGCTGGTAGACAGGGTTTCTGAGGGATTACAAAAAAAAAATGTTCCAAAGAATAGGAAATTGTGGAGGGCCATGATCGCCAATGTCCTGAAGGGACACAGCACATAGTGTAGTAATATAGTTTATGGTTGACTTACCATTCTGATTCTCTTTTCATGTAATTTTCAAGTAAATTCACTTGTATTTTTTTGGTTTTTCCAGGTTAGTGAACAGTATGGTCTACTATGGTGTTACTTTGAATGCAGTTAACATGGCTGGAAATCCTTACTTGAATTTTGTGAGCATGGCTGCAATAGAAGTTCCAGCCAATGCAATGTGTATTTTAACATTCAAATATTTTGGAAGGCGTTTACCCATATTTTTCTACATGTTATTTGGTGGAATCAATTGTCTTGCCACAAGTTTTGTGCCCCAAAGTAAGTTGAGAATTCTTACAAAGATTGTTTCACTGTTAGAAAAAAAAGCCTTTGATATCATTAGATATAAGATGAAGGTGAACTGATTACTATTTGCATGTCAATGCATTCTCCTTTGTATAACAGGAGTATCTTTAGCAGAACTATTTATGAAACATTTACATTGTAGATCACAAGTGGAAAAATCTCAAGACAGATTTCAAAGTTGTTTGCATGTTTAAAGAAAATAATATAGTATTTGCCAGAGGATATAGTAATTACAAGTGGACGAAAGGAGTTATTGTCAGTAGAATTAAGGTTAATAACATAACATGTGAGAAGATAGATACCTTCAGATTATGTATAACATTGTGTCCCTCCGCGAGTCTGTACAGTTTTTCTGTCCAGTGCCTGCTATTGATATCGATCACTTTGACCTAAGCCTTGCCCTATTCCATGTTGCATTTAATTTAGATCATCAGGCTGGCAAGAATCAATTGTTGATGGGAATTAATGAACTATTCCGGACCAGACAAGTAAAAGGCACAAGTTACAAGATGTAAAAAAAAAAAATATTTTATATGACGTTCCTTATACACAGCTGGTAATACAAGTTTTGTTCCCCATACAAGATTATAGGTTCTTCATGCAGGCATATCTTGACATGCAAAGTCACACAACCTTCCCTCATTCAAATATTTTGTGATATCCTTGTTCCTTATGGCTAAGTCTAGATATATACTTTGGAACACAGATACAAGAGGCTTTCTTCAATGACAGGAATGGTTGTCTCTCTCACAATTCCCTAAATGAGCCTCTTCAGGTTTTGAATGCAGAGTTACCCTTTTCCTAGACTGGTTGCTACACAAGCTATTGGATCCAGTCTGTTCTGCTATTTACCCATAGCTGGGGAGAGAAGAGACGGATTCATACCTTCCCCAAGGTTATTGGCACATAAGTGAATGTAACAAACTCAAGTAGAATTTAAACTCAGATCTTCAATTCCTAAACTCAAGCCACTATCAATTGCTTCACTATGTGTTTGTATATATATATATATATATATATATATATATATATATATATACGTATCTCTATCTATAAAAGGCAGGTTGTATGTGTATGTGTGTAACGAATGCACGGCCGCAATTTTCAATGGATTTGCACCAAAATTTACATGCACATGCTCCAAGTTAGTGGGAAGGCCTTGCATTTCCCAACTCCCATTGATAGTGGAAATAATTGATTTTTTTTCATGCTTCTACGGCAGTTTTCATGTAGTTTGCGGCCATTTTGTACTGGCCAGGGTGAGAGCCAATAGCTGGCTGCCACGAATAGGCAGGAAGATTCTATTGGCCAGTGTGAGAGCCAACAGCTGACTGACAGGAATGTTAACTAGCATGCTAGCATGCAAAAAAATCGATAGCTGCATTCGTCACAAGTGGGAAAAATTTAAATCAGCATAGCACTTTACTTCAATTGGCTCATTCACTTGCTTAAACTCAAGGTTGATTCTGATTCTGCAGAACTGAGTTGGGTGTGAAAAAGTATTTGTTATTAACATTCTTTTTTCATTCGGTTTTTCCAGTTACGAGTCCTTTTTTAAAGCTGATCATTTTGTGTTCATTTTGTTTAGTTCTTTTTTCATAACAGATTTAATGTTTAGTATAGAGCTTAGAAAAAATTTGTAGTGTGAGATAGGAAAGACGTAAGGCATGTAGCAACATCAGCACGACAAAGGGCACTCCTTTAAAGGCAAGGAAGGGCAAAAATATTTTAAGTCAAGTGATAGCGATTGCTGTATGAGTCGTACGATTTTTTAATCAAGCACAAGCCATGCTGCTAGTGTATATATATATATATATATATATATATATATATACACACACACACACAAAGGTGTATGTACAAAAATGTATTTGTATCTATCTACATAACAAGCTCACTAAATACATATAGTCATATACATCTATTAAAAAATATATATATATATATATACACATCACCCCCACACACCTATAAATAAATATATATGCATATAAGTAAACATACATAAATCATACACACACACACACACACACATACATATATATATATATATATGAACAAGTTCTGTCTATCAATTTTTTTTATTAAATATTTCAAATATCCAAATGAGTTTGTGTTATCAGTAAATTTGCCAAAATTCATATTAACTTTTAGTTTATATTATTCACTCCCACCAAGTACTTTCAAATGTTACTAATTTTCAAGGGTTGTTCTGTGTATAGTTACGCAATTGGTTTTTAATTCCAGCATTCTCGCATTTGATAGAATCAATTTCAAGTCATTCAAAGTGACGTCATGCAAATGATCAAATAGATTTTTTTTTATATTAAACACACTTCAATATACTGTCCCCTATGGAGAAAGATACCTTTTGTAATGTTTGAGGCTTCTTTTTATTACAACAGCCTCCAGAATTTGGTGTCTTTCTTTGCACTGTGCTGTATAATATTTTGGTGTTATCTACTAAAATTTGTCTGATGTTAATATTATTTTGTTTGTCATGTTTATATGTGCATGAATTGCACTAAACTTTGACAAATAACAAGTTAACCTATGAGAGAGTGTAGTGCATGTGTGGCCAATGTAAGAATTTAAATTTTTTTTTCACTGTTAGTGCTGGAGATACATTTTCCCAAGTGACATTAAATTGTTTTATTATATGCATCCTAATTATAAACATGACGAAAAGGCTAATAAAATTATAATCCACTGGTATATAAAAGTTATACATTCTAACAAATTCCTTAGATTTCAAGGTATTCAAAACGTCTAATCATAATTCTTACATGATTCATCACTTCAAAAATCTAACCTATGTAAAAATAATGTTGTTTATGGATTCTTATGTCCCTGCATTAATATGAAATGATCTGGAAGTATTTCTATTCAACAAGACCTTCATTACACAATTTGTTAGGAATGATTGGATTAAGCTAAATATTCATCCTATGATACCATAGCACTTTAGCTTTTGTAGAAGGCCAGCATGCCAAATCCTGTTGAATACCTTCAAGATATCTATAGCCACAACCCAATGTTGATGCTACCTCTACCTGTGCTTGTAGAGATGCACAAAGCATGATGTGGGAGATCTTGACTGAGTAAAAGCTCTACATACATCCAAATCCAGGAATAGAGAGTAACTGGGATACTATGTCATATGAATGACCTTTTAGTACTGTTTTAAAGATGGATACGATGACTAGTGAAAAGCAAGATTTTTAAGCACATGATTAAAAGCCTGACTTGAGGGCTGAATCATTTGACCCCATGGCAATGTTGAATTTCTCATTGAATTCAATGACACAAAGCTCCATACACAGCTTTCATAACAAACTTGTTCCTGGCCTATGAACAGTTTGTAACATGAAATTTGTAACAGGCAATCATAGTTGCAGAAACTTTACTATTGAGAAGAATGTCTGAACATAGCTTGGCATACATATCCATGGTGTTATTGCTGGAGCATGTTAAGTGGATCCTTTGTGCCTCATCCAGGATGGATTCAATAACCATGAGCCAACTACTGGCTAGAGCCTGGATGATAATGAAAGCTGAACAGAACTTGTAGAACTAGTTGTGGTGGTCACTCAATCAGTGCCCATTAGAGCTGAAACAATCTCTACCAACAATCAGCATTACTTGCTACAGATGGTCTGACTCATTTTTTAAGAGTCTACTTAAACCACATATGAATAGTATGCAAGAAAAGTGCAATGCTTCAAATGAGGTAAAGTGTGCTAGGGAAAAAAAGATGCAGGAATAGATGCCAGCCTTCTCCTTAAGCAAGATAAGTATGAGATTCTACCTATAGTTGAAGTGTCAATTGAATTAAGATCACAACCTTGCTAGACACTGGTTGTTCCCAATCACTTTTCAGTAAATAAGTTTGTTTGCTTTTGATAAATAAAAGTAGATGTAGTGACTGTCAGCAGGAAGGCTCTTTAAATGCCTTACAGTTGAAACTGTTTGATATTGTAGGCAACATTAATTCTCTTAAAGTTTTAATTGTGGACAGAAATTTGTTGGGATTTGATCTTCTGCTTGGACTCAACGCTATTAAAGAACCAGGTGGAGTTCAACAAACACCATTCTATCAACATACACATTCCCAAAGACAACATACATGGCCATTAAGATTAATGAGATTAGTTTTTGTGCAAAATTTGACCAAAACTAGATCTGGTTTGCATTGTGGAACTGGTTAAGAAGTTGTCAATAACCAGAGAGATTTTAAAATAGAATGTCAGGATATCCTCCATCTAAGCAAATTAGGAAGCAGTTTAACTCAAAGAATGTTTGAATATTGGCTGCCTGCTAACACAAAGAGGAATATAGTCTGATCATATATTTGTGATTGGTGCATAAATGACCACATACCCAATATATAGTTTGATGCAAGTTCTCTGTCCACTAGAATCTCACTAAAAGTTAATAAGTCTACTGTCATGGATGTATGTTGGTTGTATCCAATAAACAACATCAACCAGCTATGGGTTAAATAGTAATACTTTTATCTGGAAAAATTTTTTATTGCAAAAGAAAAATTATTAATGCAATATTCATTTGAAAAAAAAATTATTTTTACAATCCAAAATACATTACACACAAAGAGCTGATAAGTTGTAAAAATAAAATAAATTCATCACAGACTGCAGACCCATTTTCTTTTCAGTCTGGTAACTATTTCTTCAGCAAGATTCCATAAAAGTTATTCACCAAGTATAGTCATTATTTTATGAATGACATCTGCCAGCTAAACTGCCCACAACAATGACACTGCATTTTATAGTGAAATGTATGACTTTGATTTTGTTGTACACGTGTACCTGCAGGGAACAATATGGTGGAAAGATCCCATAAGAACATACTAAAAAGAATTGTCACTAAAAAACAGTTTTCCATAACAGAAGCTGTGTACCAATACAAAGTAATACCAAAGTGTGATGCTTCAATCTCACTCAAGATGTACCTACTAAGTCCAAAAATGGATGTTGATGCTACCTCTACCTGTGTTTGCAAAGATATACAAAGCATGGGGTGGGAGATCTTGTCTAAGTAAAGGCTCTACATACATCCAAATCCAGGAATAGAAAGAATGAGTGGGATACTATGTCATGTGAACGACCTTTTTGTACCATTTTAGAGATGGATACGATGACATCATCAGAAAATGAGAGTGAATTGAGTTCATTTGTTAACTCCTTAGAAGCAGATGATTAAAAGCTTGACTTGAGGGCAACTGATGATTCTTTGTTTGAAAAAAAACTAAAAGCTGCTTCCTTGCAAAGAAGCACCTAGTGGAAGAGATCAGCCTTACACTGTCACCTCTATGATCATGAGATAACTGGAAAATAGTGTGGTAATGAATGGAACAGAACAACTGAAAATAAGAAACTTACAAGATATCAAGTGGACTGTGCATATTTTAAAAATGCAATGAAATAAAAAAAAAAACTTTTAAATTCCTCCTTTTATCTGAAGTGTGTTTGAATTTTGATAGTACCTTTCAGTTTAAGAGAGAATCATCATCATGGAGAATAGTAATTTATTTCATATGGTTGTACCTAATGCGGTTGGTGAAATGAAGGTTGGGGTACAGAATGCTGTCTGAGTTTGTGTACAGGACATATTTGAGAGTTCACCTGAGTTGCTCCTTTTTTTGTGATTAGAATTACTGTAGTTTTTTTTGCACATATTTCAAGCTATTAAATGGACAGGCAATACCTTGACACTTGGTTAAATACTAGTGACTTTGAACCAGCAAAATTATTGTGACAAATTTTTACGCTTTGTCAACAATCGAAACAAAACACATCTTTGAATATTATATAGGCTTACTTTCATTTCATTTTTCACCATGCTTCAATTTAATTTCAACTAATCAGCAATCAGAGTCTGTCTATATTTCTGAGATGAGGTATTATGTACAGTATTTACATTAGTCGGACTATTGTCCTCATCTTTGTTGCCATATTTGTCACAACGTTTCGGCCGTTGTACGCTCCGGCCTTGGAACTTTCAGAGGGAAAATTAGCAGGAGATAACTGATAACTGACATCCATCAAACATGGCACATAGAACTAGAACAGTCTACCCCAGTGATCGAAATAAAGGGTTCAGTTCGAAATTCCAACCACCTGAAGAAGGCCGGAGCGTACAACGGCCGAAACGTTGTGACAAATATGGCGACAAAGATGAGGACAATAGTCCGACTAATGTAAATACTAATCAGCAATCCTTTATAGTTTATGATTTTATTTGTGATTAAATGTTATTTTCTTCTTGAGGACTTCATCTACTATAGCTACTACTTGACAATTTTTATAGTCATGACATTCCAAGGAAGGGTCATTACTTCTCCAATTAACAAAAGCCAGTAATTTTACTAGTATGTATATGGGTGTATGTAAACAGTAAATACAGTCCTTAGTTAGACAATACTACCATAGTAGAAACCTTAACTTACACTAAAATCAGTAGTGACTGCTCTATATACAGAGATTTCAATCTATTATGATTGTAAGCTAGATTTGATTTTCTTTTTGAATATTTTTTCTTTCTTTTAAGAGCCTTCTTGGATTCCACTAACCTTGGCTCTACTAGGAAAATTTGGCAGTACTGCTGCTTACGGGGGAATATATCTTGTGGCTGCAGAGTTGTTTCCTACACTTGCAAGGTAAGTAAAATCAATGACAGGGCAAAAATTGATTTACAACTCGTATCAAAGTGAACATTGATTAAACAAATGTCAAAATATACATTATTCTGATATATAGATTTTATTTTCAATCTGGAATTATTTCTTACTCAAACATTTTAGTGAATACCCATATTTGAGTGGGCACCTCATTACGTCTACCAACCTGCATATTTGAGAGACTTAATAAAGAAAATGTACTCTTCAGTAGGGTTTGAAATTGCATCCCCCTTTATAGGGGAAACTATCATCTGGTTCAGCATACTCTGTGGCTGGGTTGTCTAAAACATTTCTTGGTGGTCTGGAATGAATTAAAGTGTAATTAATTCCTGACCACTGAGAAACTTTTTAGGTGACTCTATTTAAATAGTTTTACTTTACACTATTAATATACTGTGTTCATACCGTTAATACTGTAAAGTAAAACACACTGTCTTGAAGTAACAAATAAAGATCAGTTACATTTACTAAATAATATATAGCCACTACTCACTTAATTAACCAAGTTCTATTCCTTTGACCTGGTCAAAAAGTAAAAAGTTATACTTGGCTGCTATTTCAGGCATTCTACATGTGTAATGAGTTTATGTCAACCTTTGCACTATCTGTAACATTTCTAATTTATTTGGGCTTGTAGCCATATCATGTTGAATCACCAGTTCCCATACAATCACCAAAGTTAAGCAACGTCAAGGCTGGTCAGTACTTAGATGGGTGACAACTTTGGAATACCAGGTGCTGTAAGCTTGGATGGTGTGATGGATAATGGTTTGGAATTGTTAATTGGAGAGCTAAATTTTAATTCCCATTGGGTTTGTTATAATCACTTATGTACAAAAGCCCTAGGGAAAGATATGAATCTACCTCTTCTCCCCCAGCTATGGGTTAATTAGTAAAATTTGTATCACTAAACCATTATCTCAAAAATAACAAAATTCTTACAATCTAAAAATTTTTGGGCTTTAAATAACCTGTCAAGGGTTGATAAGCCATAAAAAACAAATCAACCAACATTCTAATTTATTTCTAAGTGTTTATACAGTACAGTAGTTTACTAAACAGTAAACATAATAAACAAATTCAAAAACCAGTTCTATATTCTGTACATTACTTAAATTTGCCTACTGTAAAAAGTCAGTTTATTTATTTATTTTTCACTTTATTTTGATTCATTTTTAATACAGAAAACAGCCATGATCAAAGTTTTCATGCAATATTGACTGGTTGGAAGTTTTTTTGTTTTTTTTTTTTACATTTTGAGATTTTATAGCTTGTAAAATCCAAAGACTCTACAATGTTATTGGTCCTGACCTAGCATCTTGGCTTCACTTTCCCACTGCCATAACATAGTTTTCTTTTCTATAAATATTTCCATAGTAATTGTTCTGATGAGCTTTTCTCTTTGGTACCTAAGTGCAGTGCTAGATTGGCAGCAAGGTCTCATCATTTTACAGTTGCAATGTCTAGAGGTAACTGTAAGTTCTATGCTAACAGTTTCTTCTCTCACATTTATCACTTGTGGAACTCTCTTCTGGCTTCTTGCTTTCCAGCCAACTTTAATATTACATTTAAATTTTTGAAGATCAATCATTATATTCTGTTCTCTCTCCTTAATTTTTTCTTTTACTCATATTCTCCACACTCAGTAACCCTTTGCAACTTTGTTGCTTTATTACTTTGCTTGGGGTGAAATGATTAAAAAATCCAGGTGGTTATTCAACAGGTATGCTGTCAAATGAAGAGGGGTAGTATAGGCTCATCCTTTCTGTACCTATGTTATGTTTTAAACAAATTCTTCAGATTTTAGAAATTAAATATCTTAGAACTTGTCTAGAACTTTTTTAGACAAGCTCTAAGATATTTCATTTCTGAAATTTGAAGAATTATTGAATACATATGTTGAAAAAATAGTCTCTTTGTCTTTGTTGTCATAGTTATGTTTCAACTGTTGTACCCTTCTTCAGGTATCTATCATACTTGGTAACTTATGAACTGCCCCCTTTATTCAATCCATGGAGATAGGCTGTTCTCATTCTACTGTCAATATTAGGGAATATCACAGTGGATTCTTCCTAGTTAATTCGTCCCTTGTCATGTCACTTTATTATTTTAAACTGAATCATTATATTTGACTGCATGGCCAAGAGATTGAATTCTCAAATATCAGGTAATTATATACACTTAACCATCACACATATGGGCACATGGCCAAGTGGTTAGAACATTCGCATTCTAACTATGAGATTTGGGTTCGAATCTCACCAGGGTTGATTTGTCAGGAAGGAGACTTCCTGAAGTTATTGGACTGGAGGGGTCAATCCCAGCATGCAGCACCTTTGGAAAGTGCATAAAAAACATACCACAGGTTGACCCAAGTATTGTGAGTGAAATTGGGTAGACAGGACCCTTCAGATGCTGTCGATATCTGTGCTAGCATGAATCCACAATTATCGTGGCCAAGGGCTTGAGCATGCTGGCCTTGTTGAAATTGTTGATCACGCTAGATAACATGCTCTTTCCCAGAAACTGTAATTAAGGTCTCCTCAGCATAGTTGCAGTATAAACCACAGGTGGGTTCTGTGAGTGTTGAATAAACACAAATGTGCCTGAGCAAGTGTCTGCAATAGGGATTGGCTAGCCACCCTAGTAGATAGGTATACGAGTGGTCAGCTATACAATCATCACACATCCATTAAGCCATTAACTTGTAAAATATAAACACTGGTTGAGTGTGTATGATTTGTAAATTTAATCGCTTTTATCAGGCAGTGAAATTTATATGCTCTGGTTTATTTTGAGAACCAAAAGTGACATCACAATCATGAATTAATGAAGAAGTGATATGAAAACAGTCTATGGACTTAACAGTTTTGGTTTAGAAATTTCCAGAAAGCTAACATGACAGGCCCCTAAAAAAAGATTAGAATGTACATTGGCCAAAACATTCTGACAAAACTAAATAAATCAGATTTCAAAACTTGACAGAAATATTATTCTTATATATTCTTAATATTTTGCTAAGAGAAAAACAATGTTTACTATGCAAACTGTGGTTTTATAATAGAAGAGAAACAAACTGAAGCAAAAATGGATGACAAACTTATAGCCCCATAATCATAGAAATGAAACCCCTTCATTTGAGGATTTGACTAAAAAAAAAATCGTTACACCATATTGGAGGAATTTATTTGCCACATAAGAATATGTTTGATTTTCTAAGCATAGCTTAGATGTGGCACAAGGCAGAAAGTATGAGACACCCAGTGAAGATCAAACTCACTACTCACTGTTCCAGCAAAACAATCTGGCTAACCATTACACCACATCAAGGTGCCATAAATGATTTTCTAAGTGTAGCTTAGATGTGGTACAAGACTGAAAGTGTGGAGCACCCAATGAGGATTGACCTCTCTACTTGGTTGTAATTGATCTAGCAAGACAAGCTTGCTAACCATCACATTGTAGGGCCCAAACAATTTTCTAAACTAATCATAGATGTGGCACAAGGCTGAAAGTATGGAGCACCCATTGAGGATCAAACTCACTATTCAGTTGTAATTGTTCTAACAAGACAAGCTTGTTAACTATTACTCCACATCAAAATGCCCTTGTCTCGTTTGAACATGAATGATACAAATTCAAAATCTTTGGCCAACAATCAATGTTTTCTTTCCATCTTTAGTTCAATATCAATGTAACAATCCAACATAAGTTGCAAAGAAAGTCCTGAAAATATTCAAAACTGTTTTGTAAAAATAAAAATGCTCATGAAGTAATTGTCTTACTGGCAGGATTTCATTTTAAATATTCTGTTTTCTTTTTTCCGTCTTAGTTGTTGAGGAAAACTTAGAGGTTTTAATGATGCATCTAACTAGTTCAATAGTAAAACAGTGAGACCTAGTTACCAATCCCTTAAATTCATGTAGTCAAGGCACCAGGGTAAAAAGCTCATCAGAGCAGTTGCCATGAAAATATTTGTAAAAAAGACAGAGAGAAGTCATGTCATGTTGGTGAGAAAGTGACTGAAGTTGAGATGCCAGGTCAGGATCAATTACATTAGATTCTTCTTTAGATTTTGTCAAGAATTTCAAGATAGACAGCAGGATTGCTTGTGGATGAAGATGGTTATAAGAATTGAAGATGGGATAAATATTGCCAAAATAATAATTAAAAAAAAAAGCATTGACAATATCCCCAGGAAAGTAATCTGAAGAAAATGTAGGATAAATATTTTTTTTTTAGTATTTTATGTTTACACAAGAAAATATGAATCTTCACTGTATCCCCATTATAGTATTTATAATTTTTTATTCATACATTGAAAAACTTTTCAAAAAAAAATTAATTATATTATGCTGAGGTTATATATTGCTTAGGCTTTGTAACAAAAGACATGACTTACCTCAGAATTCGAAACGAGTGCAAACATGTCTTGTCTACAAAGTGATGACAAAAAAGAAATATGGCCACTACTGAAGACAATTTGTGCACACCTATCCTGTGCAAAATGAGATGATATTTGTACACATGAAAATTTTGGCCATCTTGGATTAGCATAAAAAGCAGGGTGCCAGCAGCACCAAAAGTGACAAGTTGAGAAAAGGAGCCACGCAGTCCGTTTCCTTGAGGCGACCGAAGAAGAAGAAAAATAGCTGGCCTGCCGGCAAGCATCGTACTTCACTTTTTGACCTACTGGCTTAGGTTATATATATGCTTAGGCTTATATAATAGGGTAAAGGATGTGTGTTTTGATGTAATTAATATTGGTTCAGAATGAGAAATCAGAAATCCAAGTTTCAATTCCAGTTGGGTTTTGGTAACTGTTATGGTTCAAAGGTTAGGAGCATGGAAGAACAACACGAAACACAACAGTAGAAATAACAAAGAATATATTATACAAGAAATAATACAAAGAAGTGAAAGGGTTAGTAAGACTGTCCAACTGGTTTGGCGTTACTGCTATCAGCTCGACTCGATTCAATACTGTCCCAATACCAAATCCGTACTAATACTGTTCTACTACTCCTGATACTATTTGTCTCTCAAGAGAGGCGTAATATATATATTGTTCAGAAGAGTTCATTCTGTCGGTTTAGGTAGGCACCATGACAGTAACAAACCCAACTGGAATTCAAACTTTGTACATTCATTAATGTGCAAAAACTCTTGGGTATGAATCCATCTCTTCTCCACATCCCAGCCATGGATTGAATAGCAGGACAGTGACATGCAGACGTTTGCTGAAGTTTGGTGGTGTCCAGGGCCAACACCTTTGATTGTATGCCTCTAAGATTCAATTAGAAGCATTGAGGGAAATAGGGCCTAGTAGTGAGAAATGTAAGAAAGGAAAATGTTTAAATATGAAAAAACAGATGAATCATGAAATAAACACTTTATTTCAAATTAAATATAAACTAAATTTTTATTTCACTCTTTGATTGGATGCCCTCCTGATATGGATGCCTGAGGCCATCACATCCTCTGCAGCCCCCCTTTTGCACACTACTGGCCTAGTCAGTCATGAATGTTATTTTTTTATGTAAAATGAATGTTATTTTTCTATGTAAAAACTGATGAAGCATTAAAAAAAAACACCTTATTCAGATTAAATATAAATTAAATTTTTATTTCAATCTTTGATTGGATGTCCTCCTGATATGAATGCCTGAGGTCATCGCATACGCTGCAGCCCCCCCCCCTTTGCACATTACTGGCCTAGTCAGTCATGAATTGAAAGAGACATGATGATGTGTTACATATAACACTGAAAGATGGAGAGATTAGGCTAAAGAATTTATTTTCTTTCTTAACATTGTGATGATGTTGTCTACCATAGCACTGAGCAACATACATTCTCTATTCAAAATATAATTCACTTGACCTTATTAGTATAAATTGTGAATAAACAGATATATATGTATCTTTTATTTCTACTGTTTTATTCATACATAATTTGATTTGTATTTACAGTTTTCTTATTTTGAATTCCAGGAATATTGGAATGGGTATGTCATCAATGTTTAGTCGTATTGGAGGACTGCTGGCGCCTTTTATCCTTGATCTTGTAATCTTTGTTTATTGGTTACCACTTTCTTTATTTGGTGTTTTGTCTGTTATTTTTGGTATCCTGTTATTACTGCTTCCTGAAACCTCAAATTCTGTCTTGCCACAGACAATACATGACATGGAGAAGATAAAAGCTTAAAGCAGTGGTTCCCAAACAATTTTGGGCCATGCACCATTTTGGTTTTTCTACAATTCTAGTGCCTCCTTGTAATATTTAATTCTTACATATTCAAAATTTTACTGCAATTTATGTGAAGGAAGCTTAAAAGGTCATTAACTTGGTCTCTAAACAAGCCTCCAAAGACCATGGTGTCCATGAAAGGAAAAATTAAAAAAACAAAAAGACAGTTAAATACATATAGTTTCAAAACATATAATAGAGAACTGAAAGGCAGAAATATAAAATATTTGAATGAAATGTTATTCTGTAATATACTTTGATCATTTTAATCACGAAATAATAATGCAAAATGAAATTTGAGCTCACATTGATATAGTAAGCCGAAGGGTGCACATCCTACACATGACATGGTAATATTTCCCCATGCTGGGAATTATTGGCTTAAATAATATCTCCTTTATTTTTTTTTTTTATTATCAAGAAATATATTCCATAGAGTTAAAGGATAGCATATTTTTCTTTCTATAAATAAATAATATAGCACAGTGTATATCAAGTGCTAAGAAAAAATAATTCAAATAAATTTTTTTAAAATTTTATTTTCGTTTTTCTATGAATCCAAGGGCTGTTCTAATGTCTGGTTGATAATCATTGTTAGCATTTAATTTTCACTCATTGAGCCAATGTTTATAATTTGAAGTAAATTTGTGAAAACAGCTTTGCTGCATAGCTTGAAACTGTCCATATACAAATTATATAATGAAACCATTTAAGAATGTTGGAATTTTCCGAAATAATCTGATTTAAATTTTTTAGTTTTTCACAAGAATAAAGAAAATATAAAACATTTTATTTTCTGGCTTTTGAAGTGTATTAATTTTTAAAAAAAAACTTTATATATTAAGTGAACAAAAAAAATTGATGGAAGACATGAAAATGATCAAGAAGTTGAGTAAAATAGGAATATATATATATATATATATATATATATATATATATATATGAAAGTGAACATACAGGCCTGACGATTGCGTCTAGCATGAAGCAGACTGTCGCCTCTAAGTGTTGACTTCTATGTTCACTTTTATATTTACACACGCTCTATCTCTGATATTGAGCACTTTATCCCATAAATATAGCACACCTTAAGGCTATATTTCTTCGTATATATATATATATATATATATATATATATAACACTTCTGCAAAATGAAAACTATAAAAAACAAACATCATTTATGAATTCAAATGCCCCTTAAGGAAATATGTTCCTGATCAAACCGAACTCATAAATAATTACATCAGTCACACTGCTACATGCCTATTTAGATGACTTACGTTACACCTATACAACCAAAGGTCCATCAGAACCCATTTAAACACACACATAAACTTACCAGATTCCATCAGAAACTTACTAGTAGAAAATACAAGCATTATAACCTCATCCATATGTAAAAAAAAAAGATTAAAAATAATGTAAGCCTTAATAATAAAGAAAAAGTCAGCACTCAATAATATTAATTACAAGCACAACGTGCTGTGTGCAGAAAATAAAACATCCCTATGATTCTAGATACATACACACAACCCATACATCCAGTTAAAAAGTAAAAATAAACTCATTCTTGATAATGGCTAAAAGTATAGCCAAAAGCGCGAGGAATTACAGGACATTTAAGCAGTTTCTACACACTCTGTGTCCAGTAAAGAAAACATTTGTTCGAACACAAAAAAATTAAATAAAAAGTTTAACTGCAGTACATTGTCAGTCGTCTTTAATGAAACATGTATAAATGAAGGATTGTTGCCTAAATACACACACACACACACACACACACATATATATATATATATATATATATATATATATATGCAATTTTTTATATATATTATTTATATATTATATATGTGTGGTATTTATTGGAAAGTGCTCAATATCAGTGATAGAGCTAACATATTTCATTGGATTGATGTGAGTTTGTGATGCTGGGTTTCACACTATTTGCGATTGCCAGACAAATTGATTAATTTTTAAATTTTGGATTTATATATAGTTGCATATATTGCTGTTTTTATGGTAGTGTGAGGAAGAATTGTCCTCAAACGCCACTCATATGTATGCAAACATACATACACACATGTTTACGTATTGCAGCTCAAACATAAACATATGAACAGTGTGGGACTGGGCGTACATGTGCATCCATATATCATTGCATACATATGTACGCAATTGGTTGCTGTATTCAATGTTGGATTGTGTAGTGAACTTCTTTTGTAAGTCACAGTGTCAACTGTTCATCTATTTTGTTCATGGAATGAGGTTTTCACACACACGCGCATATACATATGCACATGCATTCACACATCTTCTATCCATCTGTTTTTTTTTTAGATGAGGTCTGCATAAGACTATGGTAGGTAAAATTGTTATTTTTAATTTTTAATGTTTTTAATGATGTTTTGTTATTATTTTAAAGCTGGTTATTTGCTTGTTTTTGGTGACTGTGCTTATATAAATGGTAGAAACTCCAATTTATAATACTTATTAGCATTTATGTGGTGGTATTAATTTTGCTGGTTAGCAGGAAAGAAGGTATAATTGTGGACTGATGCAGTAATGTTAATTGTGATGCGGTAGTAATGATGGGTGGAGCAGGGGATGATAATAACAATTGTAGCAACAAATAGTTTTGATAAAATGGTAGAAGTGATTGCAGTAATGGTGGTGGAGTGGTAATAACAATAATTATAATTATTATGATGGTAGCTTGAACTAGAAAATAATTGATGGTGTCATGGTGTCGGTGTTTCTCTTTTTGTGTTCATAGGGTCAATGGTGGTTTATGTAGTAGTGATGGTTGTTTTTTTTTATCTGTTTGGTATAAATTGTGATAATAGGTATTTGTTTTCATGTCTGCATTTAGAAATTATTTCTGATCTTATGTTTAGTAATTTCTTTTGTTGGGTATGAGAAATTATTGCTACCTTTTCATGTAGGCAAAGTAGGCATTTCTTTGTAATGTTGTTGTAGGCAGGTGCTTTTTTCAATATTTTTCCAGCTTATTCTTAGTTTAATATTTCTGTCTTTTAGATGCCATATGTATGTGGATAGTGCAGTGCTGTTTGAGCATTTTCTGAATGAAAGGTCATGGTTGTGTTTTCTTTTCTTGAATGGTCCCTCAGTAGCACTGATGTGGTACATTGTGCTGTTGTTTGCACTTACCTTGGCTTTATATAATATATTCCTTTGTTGGTGGTTTCCTTGGAGTGGGCATGTTGTTTCATTTCTGCAGTTGCATAGAGGCTCCTAGGTTGCGTTATTGCAGGTTGTTACTTTTTTGATGTGGCTTTTCATTATTTGCATTATATTTTTTGTGCAGCTGTAACTAATTTTTACATTATTTTTGTTGAATATTTTTGCTAAGCAGTTTGTTGCAGGGAAGTGCTTCTCTATTAAGTTTAGGAATGTCCTTCCTATGTTTGTTTTGATGGTTTTGTTGTATGGTGGGTTAAACCAGATGATGATTCTTTTTCTGTTTTTCAGTTGTGAAGGTGTATATTGTAGTTGTTGCATCCGCGACTTACAAAAGAAGTTCACTACACAATCCAACATTAAATACAGTGACCAATTGTGTAGTATGTATGCAATGGCACATGGATGCGCATATACACCCAGTCCCACACTGTTCATATATATTTATGTTAGTGTGAGCTGCAGTATGTGAATGTGTGTGTATGTCTGTGTACATATAAGTGGCGTTCCGACGACAATTTTTCCTCCCACGCAACCATATATAAATCCAAAATTTAAAAATTATTAAGTTTGTCTGACGATCGCAAATAGCGTGAAACCCAGGGTCACAAACTCACATCAATCCAACTAAATATATATATATAAAATTTATATATATATAGTGCCCTTCCTTCTTCAAGTGTGTTGTACCACACTGTTTGTACAGTCTGCCAAATGCAATGATCGCTCTTGCCAGTCTGCTGTTGACCTCCTTGCTGATCCCAGCACCCGATATGATGGTACATTCGAGGTAGGTAAGCTGATGGACTGCCTTCGGCTCAGTCATGCCAATGATGATGTGGGGAGGATGATACTCCTCCCAAAACACAGGCTGGTAGAATACCTCTGTCTTCTTTAAGTTGACTTCAAGCCCAAAAAGCTTGGCAGCCTCTGTGAAGCAAGAAGTGGTCTGCTGCAAATCCCCTTCTGTGTGAGCAACAAGGGCAGTATCATCAGCAAAGCAAAGGTCTCAGATAAGTTTAAGCCAGGGTCTTTGTCTGGGCTTTTGTCTTAGATTAAACTGGCCACATCAAGACGATATCTGATATAGTTTCAGCCCTCATCAAGATTTTTCATGGCTTGCTTGAGCATCATGCTGAAGAAGATAGTGAAGAGAGTCAGTACCAGAACGCAACTCTGCTTTATACCATTGGTGATCGAGAAGGGCTCTGAGTGATCACGGCTGTATAGAGTTATCATCCTCACCACTCTTCTATATGACTCAGTCATGGGTCACTTACCAACACCACCTGCAACTCCTCAAACAGTTCCACCAGAGCTGCCTCTGCATGATCCTTAACATACACTGGAGTGACTTCATCTCCAATATTGAAGTTTTTAAAAAGGCAAAGATCACCAGCATTGAGGCCATGCTGCTAATGTCCCAGCTACACGGGGTTGGACATGTTTCCAGGACGGAGAATCATCGCCTGCCTAAAATTTTATTGTACAGCGAGCTCTCTACTGGCAATCATGGCAGAGGAGCACTAAGGAAATGATTCAAAGATTGCCTGAAAAAATCCTTTGTTGCATGTCACATAAACCATTGCCAATGATCAGCTCTAGCTGAAAACCATGATGTCTGACATCTCACCACCAACCGTGCTATCTCCTTTGAAAATACCTGCAGGGCAGCTCTCAGGGACAAGAGGCAGATGAGGAAGTACTGCAATGCTATGCCATTGAGCCCAGGCCAGACTTTTAGCTGCAACTACTGCAACCGTGTATGCCTGTCCCAAATTGGACTTATTAGTCACAGATGTGATCTTCATTTTGCAAAGCCAAGACAAGATTGATTAATGATTGATATATATATATATATATATATATATATATTTTGAAATTAGTATTTATGAAATTAAATGAAACTATGCAGAAGGAATGATCTACCTTGGACGGCAGATGGTTTCATTACCACTCCACTGACACTGAAGTAACATGGATGTTTTTCTTTTAATATATAAGATCCCTCCAGCTAAAGTAGTCTGATACACTAGGAAATAATGAAAAAAAGATTTTTGTTACAATTGGTTCATTCTTATTTAAGAAAAAATGTTTAATAAAATCAATTCAATAGTTGACTTGTCATAAATATAAGTGAAATAGGGCAAGCAAATTTGATACTACATAGAAACTAACCTCTTTAAATCAAAACACCTTAGATAGCTTTATCTACTTTATCTTCATTAAGATAAAGCATGAGAGAAAAATATTCACAAAAAATAACCTAAATGGTTTTCTTTTACATTAATGTCACTCTTCACCTCTAAAATGTAATATTTTTCTCATGTTTTTTTTTAATTCTGATGCCATACAGCTTGTCATTAACATGAGAAACAATACGGTATATATTTTTCTGAAAGGTAGACCTTTAAAGATTTCATTTTAGTCAAAGTATCAGTTTGCTTCTATTGTGGCATTTTGAATAATCTTTTTTTTTTTTATTATCTGCTCCACTGAGTGCCACCAAAATATAATATGATTATTTTAAAATAATATTGTTTGGACTGTTGACCTCATTTTTATTGTCATATTCACAATGTTTCAACCATTGTATGCTCAAGCCCTCTACAGATGATTGGAATTTCAAACTGAACTCTTTATTTCATCTATTGGGGTAGATTGTTGTAGTTCCATCTGCCATGCCTCTTCCAGATATCTCAATATCAGTTATCTCCCTTTTAACTCAACTCTCAAAGTTTTTGTCCACCTCTGCTATACAACTTTTTTGGGTCAAATCACTAGATTCAACTAACACTTTCATCCACTGGGCCATGTGTCTTTGAGGACATCACTGTATGAATTTTTGGGATTTATAAACCTAATGTCTGTAACTTTTTTTTTTAAACCTGAGTTCATATTAAAATTGATGCTATTATTGTTTTTCTCTACTACTCTGTACTCTGTATTACTGGTTCCCATATTTTATTCCTTTCTATGCTTGGCCAGCTTAGGAAATTTTTGTGGCCTAGCATATAAGCTGATTCCTTAAGTTTTCATATTTTCCAATAGTTTGAAATTCTAATCACCACTTGAAACATGAATATAACAACAAAGATAAAGGCCACAGTCCAAACAATGTAAATTGTGTAAATAATTACAATTTGTTATTTACTATAAAATAATAGTAAATAATAAACTAAAAGAAATACTGTGATTGATTTGATTTTTATCGTACATTTCAAGCAAAAATATCAATGTCCTCATGCCCACTATGTTACAATCATAAGCCTCAGTGTATTAATAAATTTGGACTATAAGAGAATAATAACAGCCAAACTAAAATCTGTTTAAGATTAATCCTGAACCTTGGCAAAAAGAATAGAAATAAAGTGGATGAGTTTGTATTCCTTCAACTCTGATAGCTGTAGGACTAAGAACTGTATTGTCATTTAGTTATGTTGTTACATGAAAGCAAAAAAACAAAACAAAAAAAAAAATACCATTATCGGTGAAGAGAAAAAGTTTATTGAAAAAAATATCAATTATTAGTGTGAAAATATTACTGGTTAATATATATTTCTTGACTTAATGAACTAATAACATGAAAGGTTGTATATTAATTTCAGAAATACTATGAATGTTGTTAAGAGAAAAGGTGTTTTTTACAATATGAATTTAAAAAAAAATTTATTTTGTGTTTGCAACAAAATACAAATACATAAAAGGACAATAAAAATCAGCAAAGTACTTACATAAATATACAAAATTAATTGTGCATAAATGAAAATATTTGTAGCAAATTCATTCATAATTTTTTTTCAACAAATCAAGAAAAACTTTGATTGGTTACAAATTTTCATTCAGCTGTAAATGACTGAACATTTTTTTTTATAAAAAGATTCTTGTATTAGAATAATCATTTGTATAAATAAAAAGTAAAGTAAGCAGTGAAAAAGAATTTTTATAGAAAATATAATATAGTTAAGGTTAGTTCTCACATATGAGTTTTAAAGTAGCTATTATAAAAAGAAATTTATAAATTTTGCATTTAGTTTTATTAAAAAAATGTATTTTAAATGTATTCTTTTATATATAGAATTACTTAGAAAAAAAAAGCAAGTCATTTTTTCATATAAAACCACTTTTTGAGTTTTAAAGAAATTTACTAAATTTTGCTTTGTAAATAAAATTTCTAGACAATTTTAAAATTAAAATGAATAATTCATTTTAAAGTTTTCATACAAACTAAATCTGATTTTTACTCTTAGAATATTTTTGGAACCTGGTTTTACTAGAACTAGTTTAATGTAAAAAAAAAAAAAGTATCAAACGGATAATTATTCAATTTTTTTTTTTTACTTTTATTGTAATTTAAGCTAATTAGTAACTTTAAAAACGTGATATCAAGATAATTATGTATGGGGAGATAAAATGGCTGAAAACACAGTCAAAAATCAAGGTTTTTCTTAAAAAGATTCATGTTTTAAGATTAATCTTTTTCTTGGGCAACAAATGTTTATTTGGATTCTGATATCTAGAACACAAAATGTCAATCAACTGTTACCTTTAATTGCAGGCATTCTAATGTTATCATTATATAAAATAATGGAGACTTTTTATAAGATAGCCAAAAAAAAACCCTTACAAAATACTTGTTTATTTATGTCAAGTCTGTTATTTATTCTAGGTTGTCTAAAAACACTTGATTCATCACCGTGGTTTAACAAGTAATGCATTTTCACTTAGAAATGTAAAGATATTGAGCTGAAAATTCTGTTTTTCTTTGTCACAATATTGCATTTCATACAATGAGTTATTCTTTAAAATAAACTTAAGAGTGAACATATTTTTAATACAGTATAAAATCTTTTTAAAATATAACACCTCTCCCCAAGATTTCTATGTTCGTATCTTTTATGAAAGGTTTTGTATAAGATATATGGATCATCGTTAAGTTTGAAAAAGCTTTGCAATCAGTCAGCACATTATTCTTAAATTTCACCTTTATTTAACACTGATGCACAAATCTGAAAATTGAGGAATTGGGACTCACCATTAAGCAGTGGTGAGCAAGCTAGTAGTCTTGTGGATATTACACCCACTGTAATGGGTTTCATTCTCACTGGGTGAACCCACCCCAATTTCTTGGTAAATAAGTAAAAATAAATTACGAAATGACATAAATATACTGTTGAAAACCTTAAAACTAACAAAAGAAAATTATGTTCAAACCTTTTTTTACATCATGTTGTTCTTAAATCAAATTCACTTTGCTTATGTGTATGTACTGAAATGTTTTTTTATTTTTTTCATATCTCACTCAAAAATATAAAAATTTTCATAAACTTAACATGTCCCATAGAAACATAAATTACCCCTCCCCTTAAACTTATTACTATTACCTTAAGCAATCTTAAATAAATTGCATTCAAATTTCAACAAAAATAGTTGGTAAAAATGTTGACAATTTATTCCAAATTATAGAAAATAATCCTGTTTAATCTGCACCTTAAGAAGTATTGTAAGTAAAATGGGGTTAGTACAAATCAAATTTACTAACTTTAATATTTGACAGAGTAATGAGTAAGATTAAGGTTTAAAGCTCTCAAGGTAGTACAACTGGTTTTCTTTAGAGTAAATCAGACAAGAGTGACATGAACAAAAAATAAATATTAAAAGGATAGTTTTTTTTTTTTTTTTTTAAATATGATATTGGCCAATATGATTTGTAAAGTGCTCCTCTTTAATATTTGTTTGTTAAGAATTTAATGTTAAATTCTGAAAGTCATTAAGTTATATCTATAAATCTTAATCAGTTTGAATTTTTTCTTCTTTCAGTTTCCTTTTGAATGTAAATGAAAACTAAAGATATTTGTTAAACAAATGTCATGGTTAGCTCATATGAAAGAAAATCCTAAATCTTAGAAGGTGACCTCATTTGACCTTCAATTTAGGTAAGGAATAGTTTATACTGTAGCTTTTAAGAAATAAGTTTAAAACAAAAACTGAGTAAAAAACATGGACTCCTCTTCAAAACATTATCAAAAACATGTTTTTTCAAAAAGCATTTGAGGCCTTTATCTGTTTAGTCTGTTTTCTTTAATTTTTCTTTTCCACATTTTGTTTTAAATATGAAAAATGTGTTCTGACCACACTTTCAGAAGCAAAACTTACAAATGCCTTTTAAAACAGACAAAAAATGTCATGGCGATGACAAGGGTTCATATCAGATATGGAATGATTGCTTTCCTTTTGATTGGATATGAAGGAAAATTCTGTTTGTACCATTTGTGATTGAGAATGCCAGCAATGATTTGGTTAGTTATGACAAACAGCAGCAAAAACAAGAGAGGCACATTGGCAAGTTGGGACATTAGACTGAATGAAAGATGAATCAAGATCTCCATAAAGAAATGGGGACACGAGATCAACTCAAACATATCACCTTTTGGGATGTAGTATTTGGTGTCACGGACTTTTGCTGAAATTAAAAGAGAAATGAAACATTCATTTTACCAAATGCCACGGATATAATTCAAGTTCACAAAACTATTGGTAAGATTATGATAAAAATATTCACATTGTATTCAAACAATCTGCTTAAATTAGAACATATTTTTATTTACATTCATTATAAACAAATTGTACTGATTTCTATTTTAATATTAAAAATAAAAACATGTTACACCAGGATTTATCAAAAAATAGTCATGAGTTAAAGATGTCCCAATTCAATATTAGTGTAGGGATGCAAAAAGCAATTATCTCCCTTGGTCGAGATGAAGTCACATGATGGCTGCTTAGTAATGTCACTTCATAGTGTGACAAAAGTGGTCAGTCAGTCAGCTTCCAGGGGTCAAACTGAGCAGATGCATGTTTTTTTAGCCTGGGACTCTTGACCCTGACTATGGTAAATTCTGCATCCCCCAGCCATGTAATGCAACTTACTCTGTAGCACCATTTTCCGATGGAAATATATCTTACCAGATATAGAAAATATCTCGAACTTGCAGTCCTCAGGTTGGGAAAAACCCAGAACTCGCTGTTATAGGTTTGCGGAATATGCAATAACAACATAGCAGATGAATCAGGCCCATTTAAATCTGGAATCTTAAATATGGCTTCTCCAAAAACAGTGCAGAATCTTTGGCAGATCCAGTTCCAGTTGAGAATGATTATATGTAAGACTCTCTCTTTTCATTAACTTTTCACACTGTTTGTTGTTGTATATATATGTTCTATTTTCTGTGTGGGACAGGTGTAAATAATTTTGGGAATGATTTAGTGGTATAAAATCCTTCCTGAGAAGAAAGCATGTTTGTCATTCTTTTTCTTCCAGCTATTCCATTTTGTCCATGAAATAAGGTGTTACTATATCATGGATAATGCCAATAATGGGGGAAACACAAATGGGAGAATAAACCTTTCTTCCATAGCACTCCCATTATTAGTTTCTTTTACTACATAAAAATAATGTGTAATATATGATTCACAGTATGAATCAAATCTTTATTCTAAGAGTTGATCTGTGGTGGCCCCAATATGTACTGGGCTCACAATATAAGTTAATTGTTTGTCCTTAGTGTCACACCAGAGCATCAAAGGAGCAAGGTGATCAGAGAGTTGGAAGGTGACCTTGAAGTCACCAGGTGTAGAGATGTCAGTGGCTGCCCCCAACATGTAGATGATTCAACTGTACTTATACTGTGCACACGTGGAATAACCAGATGACAGGAAAATATAAAAACACACAATGTGAGAGGGAAAAGGCAGCGCCTCTTGCACATCCTCATGAGAAGAATATCCATGTTCAAAGAAAGCTCCCCAAGCCACAAACCCTCACATCAATATTAAATGATGAAGTCTGAAAATGAATAAGCAATAATCTTATTCAGGCTTGTGTTCTTAAGTGTCTTTACAACAAGAATATTTACATAAAGCCAGATAACCACAAATCAATCCTCTGCTCACCCTTCTCAGGTAAAGAAACACTTTTGCAGATTTTTCTTATGTTTAAAAAATCCTCTTATTGAGATTATAAAAAAAATTAAATTTTATTTTGCTATTAAAAGATATCAATATATGTAAGCAAATATTTTAAAATCAGTTAAGTATCTTTTTTTTTACATGCAGAAAAACTTAAATATGTACGTAAGTACATATTAAAGTTATTCAGAATGTTATTTCATGATGACATAATTACACAAACACTGGACATGTTTACATTCAAAATATACAAAAGTTTTTCATACAAAATTCATAAACATTTATATATACATATGAAATAATATTTTGGATAAATATCATTTTTTAACCCAAGAGATTAAGAAATATACAGTGAGATATGTGAAAAAGGTTTTGTAGAAAACAGATTCATTCATCTGGTACATACCATTTTTGTCTTTTCTCAGTTGGGCAATTAAAAGGCAATGGTTATGTTGCTTCCAGGACGCAAATAAAAAGAGAATAAATCCTAAAATGTGCAGGAATTTCAGCTGATTTGGATGTAAACTTGAAAATATGTCTGAAAGAAACAAATAGTCATTCCATGTCAAATCAACAAGGGTCTGACCATCACTGGCACAGATTTTTTTTCAAATTTTGAACATTTATAGAGCTTCATGATAGAAATTGAATGGTACCTATTTTACATCTCTAGGTCAAAGGGTTCCCGAGATATGACCCATTGACCCTTACCAAAAAGGTGAATTTTGGAAAATAGTCACAAAGTTTAAATATCAATATCTCAGTTGTTTTTTTCCCTCTCACAGAGCTAAATTATATACCAAAAGCTGATCTATTTATTTTTTGTTCAAAGGTCAAATGAGATAATTTAGCCTTGACCTTAAACTTTGACCTTTAATTTCTCAAAAATGTATGTTTAATGTTTTTCAAAATTTGACAACAAATTTTGTCTGCTTTATGGCAAGATATGAACAAAATTTTGTGATGGAATTTTGGTTGTGGCCTGATTTACAAGGGTTTTACTGAGTTGGACCAAATTCAAAATGGTGGATTTTGGTATTTACCACTATATACTAACATTTCATATCTCCCAATATGGTCAAGTTGTATATCTTCTGTTCTGCCTTTGCGTGTTATGGTCAGCTTTATCTATTAACTTGAAATTAAAACTAAAATTTAAGCTTCAAGAAACGTTTTTTCTTTTTTCAATTGTATTTTAAACTTTAACTATCACTTTTTCTTTTTTTTTTGGAAGTACCTACTTTAAATGTTTGTTCATCTTTTATTATCTTCCTTTGATAATATAAAATTAGTTACGTTATACGTCTATAGGTCTTAAAATTATGTAGATAAAATTTACTTTTTGGAAACCATTCCCATTTTAACTATTTTCAAGCAAATAAAATTTTACAGGTTTTTTAACATGGAGGATATATTTTGAGTTAATCTTAAGTATTAACCATACATTTAAAGGATACAGCTATAATAAATAAATAAAAACATTAAAAAATTTGTATTCAAAAATAAATTTGTCTATATTTCTGAGATGAGGCATTACGTACATTATTTACATTATTCGGACTATTGTCCTCATCTTTGTCGCTATATTTATTACAACATTTCGGCCGTTGTATGCTCCGGACTTCTTCAGGTGGTTGGAATGTCGAATTTAACCCTTTATTTCACTCACTGGGGTAGACTGTTATAGTTCCTCGTGCCATGTTTAATAGATGTCAGTTATCAGTTATCTCCTGTTAATTTCCCTCTGAAAGTTCTCCACTGCCTTAACCGGGTATTGAACTCATACTCTTTGGGTCCTGTCACTGGATCTAACCAACGCCTTTATCCACTGTGCCATTTTTAAATGATGAATTTTACTTAATTTGTATTAAATACCTTCTTGACTTTCCCCTCACTAAATTTCACAAGTTAGGAATAACAAATTATAGTGACAGTTTAATGGGTAAGCCTTGATTTTCTAACTAATATCACTTCCAATATAAATCTAGATTTATGATTAAATTGACAGTATTATAAAATTAAAATGCTAAAAGGATCCTCCCTTCATAAGAATATCATGTTTAATGGTAAACCAGCCATTAAAAATATATTTTTGTCATTGAAACTAATAAAAACCTAGCTTCCACTTTAAAGATGCTCATTTAATTGTAATTTAGAGAAATACTTACTGTCTCCTGAACAGATCACTGAAGATTCTACAGTTGGGATGACGGGTAAGGAAATATAAAACATGATGCCAGCAATATAATGCAGAACACTGATGCTACCATTGGAATAGACACTGATAGTAGTTGATTCAAAATAGCGTCGGATCACATGAACAAATATGCACACAAGAACCAAAACAGTTGACATAGGATCAATTGGGCCTGAAAAAGAGAAAGTGAAAGAGAGAGAAAAAAAGAGGATCACAATCGTTTTTAACCAAAGTAAATGAGAAACATTTTCAAGGAAAAATTAAATAGAATCATTTACTAACAATTGTTAACTTACTAATTTACTTATTTACTAACTTACTAATTTACTAACTTACTTATTTACTAACAATTGTTAACAAGAGAATGATTCAAAAATGAATTTCCAATTTCCTTTCATTCCCAATTGAATAATTATTTAAGATTGGTTCAGTTGACACATCAGACATAATCTCTGTCTATATCGCTGAGATGAGGTATTATGATTACTTATATTATTTACATTATTCGGACTATTATACTCATCTTCATTGCCATTTTCACAACGTTTCTGTTGTACGCTCTGGCCTTCTTCAGGTAATTGGAATTTCGAACCAACCCTTTATTTCATCCGGTCTAGTTCAACGTGTCATGCCTCTTCCGGATATCTCAAGGACACATGGCCCAGTGGATAAAGACATTGGTTAGACCCAGTGACTAGACCCAAACAGTTGTGAGTTCAATACCATTCCCCATCAGTAGTGAACCAAAACTTGAAGAGTTGAGTTAAAGGGAAATAACTGAGACATCCGGAAGAGGTATGGCTCGTGGAACTAGAACAAGCTTCCCAGGTGGAAAAAATAAAGGGTTTGGTTCAAAATTCCAATCACCTGAAGAAAGTCAGAGTGTAAAATGGCTGAAACATTGTGAATATGGCAATGAAGATGAAAATAAAAGTCCAAATAATGTAAGCAGACAATCTATTAGATATTATTGATTAATGCATTATATCCAAATATAGATTAATTTTGGAAAAATAACAATTGTATTTAGAAGAAACATTTTGACAATGACTTGGGCTTTGCTTTTGTGTAAAAGAGATGTCATTGAAATTTGGAAATTTCAAATGCCAGGCTGATTACAACAAACTTATAAAGAGCTTGATTCATTGAGGAATAAAGAATTTCAACACTGTTTTACTTTATTATTAATATATGAAAGAAACAGTTTTTAACAAAAAACTAGAGGAATGATTAACAAAGTAGAATGTCAGAGCAAAACAACCAATGCACAATTATCTTAAATAACATTTCTTTGTCATGGTAAATTTTATTTAGCTTACAGCTATCTATACATATATAAAGGGCAGTTGTCTGTATGTTTGTTTAGCTAAAACAAAAAACTACAATAATTAACAAAAAATAAGTATACATACAGACTTATTATCACCCAAGCCAGCTTTTTGTAAAAAAAGTTATCGTATGATTTGTATTTACGAAGACATTCTAAAATTAAAATGCATTAAAATACATTCAAAATTCTTAGAATTAAAAAGTAAAAATGAACAGTAATAATTTTTATTCCCAATTATTATTACAATTCATTTTTACTTTTTAATTCTTCTGATATTTTCAAAATTCTATACATGCATGTATTTTTAAAATTTCTATAAATTTGAAATTATTTTCACATCTATAGTAAATAAAAGCGTAACTTTAAAAAATGAATATTAAAACAACAAAGTAAATTTAAAAGATGATGAATATTAAATACAATTATTTGATAAAAAGTTTAATATTTACTCAAATATGCAAGTGTGTGTGTGTGTGTGTGTGTGTGTCTGGCTAAAACTAAAAAAAACTACAATAATTAATGACAAAATAAATATATATACAGACTGAGTATCACCCTAAAGGGCAGTTGTGTGTGTACATTATTGACTTATTAATATTTTTCAGTCATCTTATGGAAAATAATTTTTTATTCAATCTTTAAAAAATAAACTTCATTGTTTTTGTTGGTTTGCAACTAACATAAAAAAGTAAATAATTTTAAATTAAGTTTTATTAAAGTACAAAACTATAGCAAGCCTTATTTTCTCAAAAATTAATTTAGATAAAATATAGTTAAATTCGTAAAACAAATATTCAACATGACTAATGTTGAGTGTAACTTATGTCTGTCCCTCCTAATTTATATTTAACTTCTTTAATGTGATGTTTAAAAGTAAAACTATTTACTTAAAAACATCTAAATAAAGTAAATCAACTTAAATTAAGATATATTTAAACATATTTAATTTAATCATTTATTAAAGCAGAAACTATAGTGATCCTTACTTCTTAGAAAAATAATTATTAACTATTTCTTTTTGAGGGGAATTTAGATTTTTTTAAGTAAACAAATTTTTACTTTTAAACATTAGATTAAAGAAGCAAATATTTCTCTGTAAATGAATTTAATTACTATTTTGAAAGAGAGCAGAAGACACATTGAGAATTTAGTTTGGAAAATCGATTAACAGTTCAAGTTATATTTTGTATTTGAAGAGAAAAAAAAAGTTAAATAAAATCAGAAGAGATAGGTATGAGTTACTGTCAACATTAGTCATGTTGAATATTTGTTTTATCAATTTAAAAATGAATAAAAATATGGAAAATGTAAGCCCCCTAAACCCCTCCACCAAGCATTGTATTGGTAGTATGGTATTTTCTTAAATTTAGTTATTTTGTAACAAACCAAAAAACAATGAAGTTTATTTTTTAAAGATTGAATAAACAATTATTTTCCATAAGATGGCTGAAAAATGAAAAATATAAATAAATTGTCAAGAATAAATTATTATTCAGAGATCTTCCGAGCAATGCCAGGTATCCTCGCTATTTTAGCAATAAACAAAAACTTTCTTTCCAAATAAGAAACAATGTTATTTAGAATCTTATTATGCTGTTATATCTTTAAATGAGGTACCTCCAAAAATTTACTAAAAAAGAGGATACATGATGAAAAAAGTGCCCAAATCATAATAAAAGTAAAATTTTATTGTCAAAATCTGTGTTATTATTAAGAAGAAAGATCAAAGGACTATTTGATGAAAAAAAAATTTTTTTTATTCTTTTTAAATATTTTGGTTTAAAATTTAATTTTTTCTGATGTCAATCCAGGACCATAAATTTGTACAGAAAAATTTGAACATTTTTTTCAGTGTAAAACACACTGACTTGAAAATTCTTACAAATATTGTAATTGTCAGATTTTAATTAAACTTTCAGAACTTATTCAAAAATTAATTAAATTATATTTGAAATGTTTCATTTTTAGAAAAGCTTGATAAAAATATTTTTATTTATATCTGTTACCCCACCACCCAACCACCACCACCACTACCACTAATTTAATTTTTATGAAATTTCAAGAAATTATTTTTTGTATCACTGATTAAGTAGAAAAAAAATGTCATATTCCAATCAGTGTAAATTTGGTTTCGCATACATCAAATTATATTACATTTAATCTGTAGTGGACCCCATGGAGGGGAGATGCGATATGAAAACGGTCCGAGCGCCCCATATCAGTATGAGGTCACAAGAGGCCCGCTAACATTTTCGAATTAAAGATGTGAAAGCTGACAGGTGAAATGGACAACAGAAACAAGGATATGTATGATTAATGCTCAGTTTATTTACAAAGCAGAAGCCATGGGTTAGATTGGTCTAGTAATAGAAAGGTGGTTGAATTGGTCATGCCGACGGTTGGAGTTGAGGTGTAGACATTCTGGTCATCGTGTTGACGGTTGGAAGTGGAGATGCTGAGGTTCCGGTCGTGTCAACGGTTTGAAGTTGAGATGCAGGTGTTGCGTATATGCTGGTCAAAGTCGGTGTTGAAACCTCCCATAGTTATTATGACCGATAGTATACAGGGAAGGTTATTCAAGTCAAAGTTAAGTTGATTGCTGCTGGGTGTTGCTGCTGGATGAACATTGGTCACTGCAGGTTGGCTGGCTGGGCTTCGGACTGGACATGTTGGGCAGGAATGGTATCGGCAATAATATCTGGTCAGTGCTAGGAAGCTGGTGTTACGATGATGTTGGGCATATATCAAATGTCCGGTGCTGGCATTGCGTGTCTGCTGGTCAAGTCCAATATTGAAACCTCCCGTAGTAATTATAATCGTAGTGTACAGGAAAGGTTATGGACGACGTGCGGGTAGCAAGTGGGGACAGAATGCCGAGAGTCAAAGAAAGCCAGAATAAAGGTAGAAGTAAAAAGAGAAAAAAAGACAGATCCACGTCCAGATGGCAGAGGAAAAAAAATGGGAATGTAATGCAGCCTGGGTAAGCCACAAAGGCCAGGAGACTGCATACCAACCCCAAATTCGGCGAGAAGTCAGCGTGTTATGTTAAGGGAAACCAGCAACAGACATTGTCTCACAAAAATGTTAAAAATCTCTCTAAAAATGAGTTGAGGTTTGCAACAGAAAAACAATGGTCTAAAAATGCTTAAGAGGTGTATTATGACTAGGTTCATAACACAAACGGAACTAAAAAGTAATTAGCTCAATTCTAAAATGAAATGAGACTAAATTATACAGTGTGTAGGGAACATGATCAAAAAGGTCAACGGTCAAAGTGGATTGGTTTCTCCCATTTATGGAGTGGCCAAAGACGGACATGACAAATCTATTAGCTTGAAATTAAAACTAAAATTTAAGCTTCAAGAAACGTTTTTTCTTTTTTCAATTGTATTTTAAGTATCACTTTTTCTTTTTTTTTGGAAGTACCTACTTTAAATGTTTGTTCATCTTTTATTATCTTCCTTTGATAATATAAAATTAGTTACGTTACAATCACCTGCAGTGGAAGGTTTCAAAAGTGGATTAGCAAATGAAATTTTTTCCATTTCATCAATTTGGGTTATGATCCTTAGAGACAATTTCTATGCTAAATTGTTTGCAGTTAATTTACTAGTCTTGTTAAAATAAAACCTGAAACAGGTTAAAAAAAAGATTGGATCAGTTGAGACCTCAATGTCATGTTCTTTGAGATATAATTGATTAATGAATGACATCCAAATAAAGATTAACTGATAAAGTAAAATATTGACAGGAACTGACAATGACTCAGTGTCAGGTCCTATTAATATTTTGCTTTTATGTAATTGAGAGATCATTGAAGTCTATGACATCTGAATATCACAAATTCCAAACTGATTACAACAAACTTATAAAAAGTAAAACAAGCTAGTATTCATTAAAGATTGATTTATTGAATATAATATTTATATCTTCGACCTGTGACATTTAACTACCATCAAGCTTGAATGAATCAATATAAATGTGCGAAATTTGTAGTGCGTTAATTTTATCATAAAATTGTAATAATTTATGTTTATCATAATCATCTTTGCACCATTTGTAAGGAGAATGATTACTAATAAAAAATTATTTTTGTCCAATGTACAAAACTGGAGACCAATATATTTTTACTGATACAAATGCTCCAACATTCATACTCAAGAAAATAAAAGGACTACTGATTAGAGCCATACACAAAAAAACATTAAGTAAAATAAGTAGAGTAATACTTTATTTTGTATTTTGTCTCTTTTTCAATAATATAGAATAAATAAGAAAATAAAAAAATATAAATATATATAAAATAAATAAGAAAATAAAAAATATATAAAATAAATAAGAAAATAAAAAATATAAAAATATATAAAATAAAAAATATAAAAATATATAAAACAAATAAGAAAATAAAAAAAAGCAAATGACTCACCAGTCAAAGAAGAACAACCAAGAGTACGAAAGAAAACATTGTCATTGAGGTATTCTGAGATTAAACCGGAGGACAATATAAGGGAGAGCAGGATGCCACTAAAATGAATCCCAATCAAGTAGAAATGACTAAAAAACCTGAAATAAAAAATAAATAAAAAGACCGGTCATTAAGTTGTGGAGTTCAGAATTCAAAATTTACAGTCAGTTTCAAATTAAGGTTATAAAACAAAACTGCCCATAAGGATGAGAATTAAAATTTCTAATCCTCATTTCTTTTTTCTTTCTATTTCTGGATTAGAATTCATTATTTATATGTATCATTTCCCCATTGAGTCATTTGTCAGAATAGTAAGCATGTCAGCTTAGAATCTGGAACCTTAGACCCTGTTTTCTCACATTTGCTGTAAATTTCTCATTGCGAGGGATTTGCATTAAAAATTATTTGTATATTTTAAACATTACAAACTAATGCTTAATATATTTTAATATAAACTATGTGACAAAAATAAGATTGCATTCAAATTTTCCAAATTGCAAGTTACTTGAAAGTAAATAAGTTTTACCACCAGACTTAGTGAAAAGAAATTTAAAAATGCATTTTAAATAATTTAAAATGCCTTCTTTTAGGTTAAAATTTGATTTTATTTAATTAAGCCAATACATAAAAAAAATAATTTACCTATTGAAATAAGGTTTTTAGATATTTTAAAAACAGTGGCATATTCATTCACAAAACCATTGACAAAAAATGAAAACAAAAATCTCTTATAAATCCAACATTTGTGCTAGATATTTATTTCAAAGTAAATTCATAACTTTAGGTTTTAATTAACTAGGTTTTGCAAAAACTCATATTTACGTTTTGCTTACAACATAGCCAAAATAATATTTACTTATGCACAGTAGCCCATGAACTGCAATTCTTTTACTGCCACTCTCTCTTAATAAAAAATAAAAAAAGAAAGGACTAAAAAACTGAACTACAGAAGACCAAAACTACTAGAATATAAAAACTGGTATTGATTATATTTAAAAAATATATATTATCTTTAACCATATATAACCTATATATAAATAAATATATTTATTCTTTTATCAGTTTTCATGAAATTTAGTAGAACTAATAATTTCATTTTTTGTATTTGGGGTAATATAATATTTAATTACACCTAATATTTTAATAATTCTGATTTTTAAAATTTATTAAATTAAAAAGAGCTACAAAAAAATAAATAAATAAAAGAAAAAAGAAAAAAACGTGATAAATTGATAAAGATTTATTGGACTGAAATTGATTGCAATCACAGAATTATTGAATTTATTTTTTGATCTTCCATAACAAAAAATTACATAACAGTTACAAAGATGAAAAAGAAAAGTCTTTTAAAAAATATTCACTCAAAAATAGCATTAAGCTTTACACTTTTTAATTCTTAAAATATGCCTTTAATAAAAAAAAAAAAAATTTATAATCTCTTGTTACAGCTAGCAAATGAATGAATTTCAAAATTACAAGTATATTTTTTTTTAAATATTAATTGCAAATTTTTTCCTGTCAAATCTGAAATAAAAAAATGTTTTATTAAATCATGCAAGTACCAACTTATTTTTGGTAATGTTGGGACAAATTTCCAGTTCATGGTTGATATTGTATGATTTTTTTTTTATCATTTCACCCCAAACAAGTCAATAAAAGCCTCTAGGATACCGGGGGAGGGGGCAACTGACAGTGAAAGAAAGCAGGAGGAGAATAAAAAAACTAGTATTCAAGGAAACCAAAGATGGTGGCTGATATTTGCATTTACACTTTTGAAGATCATAGTTGAGAGTAAAGCAAGAAACTAGAAAAGAGTTCCACAAGCAAGAAGTGCGGGAAAAGAAAGTATTAGCATAAAACTTAGAGTTACAACTAGCAATTTCAACAGTGAAATTATAAGACCTAGCTGCTAATCTAGTACTGCTCTTAAATTCACAAAGTCAAGGTACTAACAAAGAAAGCCCATCATAACAATTACTGTGCAAATATTTATAGAAAAGACAAACAGAAGCTGAAGCTATATTAGAGGGTTGGAAAAGTGACTGAAGCTGAGATGCCAAGTCAGGACCATTAACATTGCAGATTCTTCTTTTGATTTTCTCAAGAATATCTAGATATAAAACAGAAACACTGAACCAGATATGGCAGCAATATTTGATACATGGACAAATGATAGACTTATAAATGTGCAAGATAAATTCTGGCAAGAAAAATTGTCTAGCATTACATAGTGAATTAAATTTCTGAGCAGCAGACATAGCAATTGATTCAATATAATCATTTCACTTCACGCCAAGAAGGTGCAGTGAGTTGCTCTCCTGGGGGTTAGCATCAGCCTTGCTAATGGAGGTCAAAAAAGGTTCTTTAATATGATTAATAAAGAGCCATTTTATTTTAGAGATGTTAAAATTAACAAACCATTTCTTACTCCAGTTAACAAAAGATTGTTCATAATTTTTAAGATCAGCTGCTATTTCGGTTTCACTGAACCAATCAAATTTACTACTAAGACAAGAGTAAATAGTTGTGTCATCAGCACAGATAATGAGTTGGGAACTGATGACATCCAGAAGGCCATTGATGAAATTAAAGAATAATTAGATTTCAGAATAGAGCCTTGAGAAATACACGAATTAATGCAAAATGGTCTAGAGAGGCCATTCATTATGAGGTTTGATAAGAAAGATATAACCAAATTAAAGAACAGCCAGAAACACCATTCTCCTTCAACTTGTGAAGACCAACATGCAAAACCCTGTCAAACAACTTCAAAATATCTGGAGCAACAGCCTGAGCTTCACCATTCTTATCTAAAGGTCAACAGGCACTTTCAGCAATAACCAACAGATCAGCAGTTGACCTAGAGAAGAGAAAGCCATGTTGTTTGTCTAAAAGGTGACCTTGCAATGTGAGATGCCGTTAAGCATTGCTTTCTTATCAAACCTCATAATAAATGGCCACTCTAGACCATTTTGCATTAATTCATGTATCTCTCAAGGCTTGCAGTTGATATGACCTTTAGTACTTTTCCAAAGAGAGATAAAACACTAATTATGGGTTGATAGTTTGAAAGATCACACAATTCACCAGAGTTCTTAAAAACAGGAACTACAAAAGAGGATTTCCAACAATCAGCAAGGTATTTTTACTGCAGAGCTTGGAGAGAATAGGAGCCACTTCAGCAGCATATTTCTTAAGGATTATATCAGCAGGTATACTGTTGAGTCTATAATATGCTTTGTGGGGATCAAGTTTGGAGACAATAGTGGAAATCATGGACAGAATTATATGCACTTCTCACAATAGAACCTCAGCTGTAAGTGAAAAGTCAGACTCCTGATGAGTTAAGTATAGAATTAAAAGAGAATTTAAAAGCAAAGCATTCTGCTTTATCAACATATGATAGCACTTCAAATTGATTGAAGAGAGAAGGGATTGAGAACTTACTCTTAGTTAACACACTCTTACAAAGCCATCAGTGGTTATAAGAACCAAATTTGTGTGAATACTGAAAATTTAGTGCCCACCCTCCAATATTTTTAAATAAGTTGTCCACTACTCACCAAACCCCCACCCCCACCCCCACCAGAAAGTACAGTTCTGGTATTGTTGCAGTGGAGTTTTATCTGGACTGGAACCAATGATTTTTTTTTCGTTAATACTTAAACATATTGGGGTGAGGGGCTAGCCCCCTCCAGAAAGTACGCCTCTTGTAGTGGGATTTTATCTAGACCCCCATAATTAATAATACTTTCTAAAAAATATTGGGGAAGGAGGCCTAGCCCCCTAAACCACCCTTCTGCAAGTATGGCACTGGTACTGTTGTAGTGGGGGTTTTATCTGGACCCTATGATTTTAAGTTTAAAAATATAGGGGAGGAGGTCTTATCCCCAACCCCACCACTCCAGAATGGCCCTAAAATCAATTTTCAATTGACTTTTATTTTATTTCAGTCAGCATGCCATGTGTGATACACGTGTAAGCAATTATGTATTTGTAGAATCTCCCACAACACAACCAGCCTTACCTCTTTGTAGGAAATGCACTCTTCCTATCTAGTAAGCCAAATTCTACCTTCAGACAATATAACATTTATATACAAATCAAACAATATACAGACAGGATAATTGATGTATGTTGTGTAGGCGAAATGTGTATGCGGTTTCTTCATATTTCAGAATGTCTCTCTTCGTAATTGTTCATTCATTTGGAGTATTTTTTGTTTGTGCCGCTATTTGCGATTGTTGATATTAAGTGTCTTATAGAAAGAGTTTTTTAAGAGTGATCTACCTTTAACTGTAATATTTTTCTAAGGTCGTTCGTTCGTAGAGTTTACTTAATAAGTAGTAAATTTGGTTCACTTTAGTTAAGCAAAGTTGAGAAATGATGTACACAGAATTGATTGAATCTTGATCGAGTATGAGTCAGCGATGTATCTTTTTGCGCTGCAAATCGTGATTCGTAGTGACGTGGAGTATTTTGGAAGGTTCTCTGTGAATGCGTGTTACTGACTGCATAAAGTTGGTAATTGTCTTTAACGTCTGGTCAGCAATGACTAAGACGGGAGTCAGTGAATGTTACATCTTGAAACTTGGTAATTACTGCTCAGAAGGTTCACACGTTTTCTGTTTATATAATCACTGAGTGGCTCCCAGCATAAGAGCGGGAAAACAGCTTGGTCGCGTGCAGGCGGTTTGATTGGTCAGAACTGACCAATCAGCAAGCCAGATTGGAGATGATTGACCAATGAATACTTGTTATATTGTCTGAAGGTAGAATTTGGCTTACTAGATAGGAAGAGTGCATTTCCTACAAAGAGGTAAGGCTGGTTGTGTTGTGGGAGATTCTACATATCTTTCGATAAATGACTGACGAGGCAGATCTTTTCCCGCAGTAGGCCGCCATTTCTTCCTGCAGTAAACCAGTTGCCATCCCAGGCTATAGAACCCGGTCTGTCCTGCTTGGGAGGAGAAGAAGAGGATTTATACCTTTCCCAGGGGGTATGTAAGTGAATATAATGGATTCAACTGGAATTCGAACTCGGGTGTCCAATTCCTCAATATGAGCTGCTATCCATTACTCCACCATAACTAACTACCGAATTTTCCTAAATCCAAAAATTTAATTACCTATGATAATAATTCCCTGATTTTTGGTAAATCTTGAAAAACGGAATGTGTATCGTTATTTTGTTTTTTTTATGTGCACAGATTTTATTTTAGTGATATAACTATAACTAATCAGACATTCATTCAGAATACAGGTGAATTTCATAACAAGAGTGTTGGTAACTTCTCGGCCAGGCCCACTTCCTAGAATCGGCCCAAAAACAGTATTCATTTTTAGCAATTCGTAAATGAAACTATTTTTTCTCGATCCAGTGCAGTTTAAAAATAGATATAATCTACCCCCCACCTCCCTTTTTTATCATCTACACTTATTTTTTTGCACACATAACAATAACATCCACCCTGCGTGGTGATGTTAAGTGCAAGAATACTAACTAACAGTGTAGGTACCAACTTCGCTATATTGAGTTAAGAAAAGTAACTTGGCAAAATTTAACGGAGTTTCAATCTTCGCACCAATACAAATGCTTCAACAAAAACATTCAAACATGTTTAAAGCATAAAACAACCTAATAAAAAATCACTTTTAAAAGTCATTTGCTAAATTACCCAGGCAGGGAATAAAAGAAGAAATTATTTTTTTCTCATCTCGATGTGGACGTGCGGTGAAATATACAACTTCTCTCTGTGTATAATTACAGTATGGCGGGAAATAAGTCTTGTTTTAGTTCGAAATCTGCCGCAGGCGGAAACAGCGATTAATGAAATATTATTATACTTAGTTTGTAATTATTTTCCCTCACGAGAGAAGATTTTACTTTTAAGTTTCACTTGCTTAACCAATCACTTCGGGCGGAACGAAATTTAAATATGAGCAACAAATCGTTTCAACTTTAAATGCTTCTATTAATTGTGTGTGTGTGTTTAGTTTGTTAGTTTTTTTTAATGGAATTTCTCTTCTTTCTTATATATATATATATATATATATATATATATATATACACACACACGGTTACGAGAAAAACTCGCCAATTCTTTAATGTACATGGCACGCAATAATAACAGTAACAAAACAAACTGATTAGAATGCCATATAAAGCAAATCAAAATATGATATACTTTATTTCGTTTTTTGTGTGTGTGTGTGTGTGAGTGTGTTTTTTTTAAATTAATCGAATGTTTTCATGTCACAAAAATAAATGTTTTAAATCAGGAATAACTTACTTTTTGGGTAAGTCGTACTGCGAACGGAGGTAAAAAGATTTATATTGTTTCATTTTGCCAAACTGGTAAAGTTTGTGAATAATACTTTTCTTATCTTTGACCATATTCAAGGCAACATAGCCGAAAAATATCGCCAAAGACATAAAAATCCACGTAATTGCTAACACCGATAACATGATGGAAAATGGAAGAACTCCTCAACTTGCTGCCAAGAAGACAAACTCTCGACAACACAGACGATTACCTCCCTTGTTTATTCTTGCCGTTTAATTTTTATAAAAATAAACTTTATTTACATTTAAATTAATTATCATAATCTGTCCACTAAATCAAGATATAACAAATTTTCAAGACAGCTACCAAATTGGAATTTTATGGGGAAAAATCGTATCTTTACAATAGAACAGAAATAATGTTAGCACTACTTAAATTATAAAAAAATAAATAGATTGGTCCACTTAAAGAAAATTGGGGAAATAATTTTTGCAGAAGAGCAGTCTTTTTTTTCTTTTTTAAGATTTTATTTAGGTCGTATGGTGACACTTGTTAAAATTGAAAAATATTGATTCGTTATCGATTTAGATAGGCGTTCAATTTATCGATACAGTGTCAATCGATCCCCTGACTTTTACAGAGTTATTGGTCTTTTTAGCTAAGTTGTTATTTACAAATGTCAAGTTTGAAAATATACCAACATCATTGATCTGTATATTTTTTTAATTTTCTGAATTTATTTAACATGAAAAAAAATTTCTTTTTAAATTTTGCAAAAAATTTAAAAACCCTTTTCCTGTATGGGATTTCTTTGGAAGCACATACCCAAACATTTGATGTTCATAATTATTTATTTTAAATTAAATTTTAAATGAAGAATAAAGGGGTATATAATTTTATTAATTTATATCAATTTATGTTCTTTAACTAAAAATATATATTTTTTTATTCCTAATTTAAAAGAAATATTTTTGTAAACCCTGCTTTGTTTGCAAAACTGCAAAGACTGATAAACAATTTTCCCAAAACAATTTTCACTAATTTTTTTTTTTTTTTAGAGGACCAGTCTACTTAAGTAGTTACCAAATGTTATATCCATCAAAAATATTTTTTTATATCCACGTGACAAAATCTCACTGGAGATGGGACAAGCAATAACAGAGCAATACTAAAATAGAACACAAGATATCTCTCAAATTATAAAATAATTAATTTCTTGACCAAAATAATTTTAGTTCAATGTTGTTTTGGTCTAGTAGAAACAAGACTAGCAGTAACCAAACAATTTTTTTTAATCATTTCACCCCAAGCAAGACAATAAAAAACTACCATTAAGAAGATAAAAGATAACAATTGACATTGCATTTAAATTCTTGAAGATAAGAGTTAACTGGGAAGCAAGAAGCTGAAAGAAGAACAATCTACCAACCAAAATTAAACAAAGGGTTCAATTTTAAATTCAGCAAAGGTTACACCTGAAGAAGGCCTGAGGACACAACAGCCAAAATCTTGTGATAATAGCAGCAAAGATAAGGACTTTAGTCCAAATGTAAATAATGATAACTCCCCCACATCCCAGATATTCACACAGAAAAATGTTATTTTCCACTTATAAAATGAATAAAAAGAAATTGCAACTGTGTTATTTGTGTCAGTGTATAAAATAGAATTATCTTAGACAATCAGATAGCACAATGATTGATCGCTCTTTAAAAAGAAAAAATATTTCTTGTAAAGTTTAACAAAAAGTATAAGACTAAACTAAGAGACATATTGCTAGACTGATACCCCAAATATCTGTGTCTGTCAATCTGAATAACTTTCAGTGAATTTCCAACTGAAACCTTGATTCAATCTACAGGAATAGAATATTCTTATTATGCTGTTCATGGGTAGGAAAGTAATATCTTGGTTAATAGTTTCTTCTATCACAATTCTCTCTTCCAGTTTTTTGCTTCTCAGTCACCTTTGATCTTTTAAATGCAAGTCAATCATTATCTTCTGTCTTCTTAATAGTAGTTTTTCTTATATTCTCTAACACTCAGTAATCCGTTGCATCTGAGTGTGGCTTTATTGCCTTTCTTGGGATGAAATGATTAAAAAAGAAAATGCTCAGTTGTTGCTAATCTTGTTTCTACTCAGTCTGAGCATATCCTTACTACCTGGTCTGGTTCAAGGATTGAATTCACAGTTATTATGTTATCAAATTCACTGATCATGACTTTAGGCCACCATGAATTCAATCCATGGACCAAAACAACATTGAACTAAAATTATCTTGGTTAAGAAATTAGTTATTTTATAATTTGAGAGTGTGTGCAAAAATTTTATAGCACTTTTTTTTAGATTATTTAATTCTTAATAACTAGTAGATAAAATATATATTAATAACTGATAAAGTATGTATTTAGAAATTCTTGATAAAATCTAAAAAATAATCTGCAATGTTATCAATCCTGACCTGGTATCTCAGTTTCAGTCACTTTCCCACCACTGTAACATAGCTTCCCTGTACCTTTTCTATAAATATTTTCATGGCAATTGTTCTGACAATCTTTCCTCTTTGGTGACTCAACTTTATGAATTTAAGCACAGAACTAGTTTGGCAGCTAAATCTCATTTTACAGTTGAATGGCTAGACATAACTGTAAGTTCTATGCTAACAGTTTCTTCTCTTGCACCTCTCACTTGTGGATCTCCCTTTCAGCTTCTTGCTTTCCAGTCAACTTTGATCTTCAAAAACTTAAATGCAATGTTAATTATTATCTTTTGTCTTTTTAATTCCTTTTCTTTTACTCTTCCCTCTCTTTAATAATGTTTATCTTTTTCTCATATTCTTTCACACTCAGTAACCCCCTTGTGTCTTAGTGACTTTGTTGTCTTCATTGGGGTGAAATGATTATATATATATATATATATATATATATATAAATAAGATAAGAACAAATATATAATTCCACTGTAGCGTTTAATTTTCAAAACGGGCTTAATACAGAGTGGAACTTTATATTATTTATTATAGGAGATTAAAACAAAAACATGTTAAGAATCACTACACAATAGCTTTCATGTTTCAGCAAGAACTCGTGCCTCTTCATGCAATGGTAAATAACTGGTGAGTAAATGATTATTTTTAATTTCTAAAGAAAAATACCCCTTCTTTTTTTCAAAAGAGAAGAGAAGACGAGAACACAACAAATCAGAATTAAAATGAGGCTTGTGGGTTTACCCTGATTAACCATTCAGCTGCAGACCTATGCTAAATTCAAAATTAATCTAAAAAAGGAAATTTATATCATGGCATAATGTAGCCTGAAATAGAATCCTAGACAAGGTCATTTGTGGCAGGCATGAAATTGATTCAAACTATAAGTGAGTGACAACATTGTATCATAATGTGAACAAATATGACTTGTTCAATTTTCCATAAGAAGCTAAGGGGAGGAGTAGGAAGATTATCAAACTTAAAGCTAATTGTGACATAGATTTTGTAGTTGAAAATTAAAAGGCTTCTTTAAGAAATCAGTGAACACAATTAAACCGTTTAAAATTAAAAAAAAATGTGGAACATCCATGTAAGATGTTAAAAATACCAACTAGACAGTCATACACAGCTATATTAAATCTAAATAAAGAAAATAAAATAATCACTCATAGAAGGTGCACCACAATTTGCTTACTAATTATGACCATATAAAATAGTACTTCCAAATTCAAAGTTTAACCACATCGTAGGGTGAAAGGTAAACTATGTCTGCAATTTACAGTTAATTCACTTCTTTGGTTTAATAGAGAATTTTTATCAGCAAATTTAATAATTTCCAATTTCTCATGTAAGCATAAGAAGCAAGTTTCATTTAAGGATTTACAAGTTCTAGCTTTTTTAAAACTTTCCATTTTACCGTAGAAGTTTTATTAACCTCTTTTAAATTCAAGACATATTTGGAAAGAGATGTACTATTTTTATAAGTGCTATTGGTGAAAGATAGAATATGTTGGTATGAACTAGTTTTAAAAAGAATTCTTAGTACTCCTTATATAAAATTTTTCAACAGTCGGATTTTCAATTGTAGAAATAGTGCTTTGGTAAGCAAGAGAGTTGGTCAGACATTTGTTTTGCAATGAACAATCATTAGAATTTCTGCAGTTATATTTGTTAGTATTATCAACATTAGTTACCTTGGAGGAACTTCTGCCCTAACATTGATTAAGTGGAGGTGTATAACAAATAATTTTCCTGTTCTTATTCCTTTTTCTTTGATCACTATTATCATGTTTTCTATACTTGATATCTGCATACTTGTAACCACTATTTTTTAAGGCAGTTAGGTTCAATATATATTGGGTTGGCATTGACCTTCATATAAGGTTGGAATACATCATTAACAAGATCTAACGTAATATCAAGAAAATCTACCTGTTTAACATTAGTAGTGATTTTAACTTAGTTTAGGCTTTTTAATCCTATATAGATCATTTTTCTTAATTTATCAACCTTAATTTTAGTAGGATTTTTACTAACATACAACCATCATCTCTATATAACCCTATATTATCAACACTAATATCATCATAAGCACTTAGATTATATATGATAAATCAAACCACCAGGTCAGAAGACTCAGCAGAATCTAATGATCCCATTCTGTAGTGTACAGAATCATTTGTATGGTTTAAGGTCTGTCATCTGATTGGTTAATCAGGGTAAACCCAGAAGCCTCATTTTAATGATGATGTGTTCTGTTCTCATCTTCACTTCTCTTTTTAAAAAAGAGGGGGTATTTTGCTTTAGAAATGAAAAATAATCGTTTATTCACCAGTTATTTACCATCATCTAAAGAGGCAAACATAATGCTGAAACACAAAAGCTATTGTGTACATGTTTTAATCTCCTATAATAAATGATATTATATATATATATATATATATATGTGTGTATGTATGTGGAAAAGCAATATACATTTTTAGGCAAAGCTTAACCCTTGTGTCCACAATAAAAAGGTGTGTCAAAACGATATTTTTTCCCTAAATATCACTATTATTTTCACTCCCTCAGCAA